CTTTGCGGCCGCGGCGGCGCCCCCTTGCCCGGGGCTGGCGGGGCTCAAGTGACGCCATTAACAGAGGGGTGCGTGTATTTCGCGTCCGCGGCCCCTCCGGCCTCCAGAGCGGCGCGAGGGTCGCAAATGCTGTTAGAGTGGGGGGGGGGGCGGCGGGGGCGGCGGGGGCGGCGGGGGCGGCGGGGGCGGCCACGGGGAGGGACAGGGCGACAACAGAGCGCGCCCGGTGGGCCCGGTGGGGCCTCCACAGCAATCAGCGATCCACAGCCACCCAGCCTGCGAAGCCAACACAGCGAACCCATCAAGTGACCGCACCGTACGCCATGCCCCCCCCCCTTTTCCCCCACACGCCAGGCCGCGCTCGCACTGCGCGACGACTTTTTAAGGACGTAAGGGTGGCGGTCCATTTCGAGAAGGCTTTTCCGAATAAGCGTTGGCCCCGTCAGGCGTCGCCAGACTGCAGCCAGGTCAGGCAGGGCCACGCCAACACTAGCACAATAGCTTTTATTGCCCCCCGACCGGGGAGGGGCAACGGCACCTCGCCTCCGGAGCTGGGCTCCGATGAGCAGCCGAGCAGTTTTGCTTGTCCGGCCAATCGGCTGGAATTTTTCTAAGTCCGTGTTCATAGTAAAATGACAATTTTTGACAACGCTACCAAAATGCTTGTCACGAAACGGTTCACATTTCAGTGTAGGTGTGAAATGCAGTTTGTCCTGCTCCGTCAAAATGATCGCTCGAATTCAAATTTTGCATGAATAGATCCAGGATTTTGTCCCGCGTGCATTGGTCATCGTTGCAAACATGTCAAGCGACGCGTTAGAAATTTGACTCTCTGGACTAGGCCAGGTAGTCGCCCCCTGTCTATTGTGTCGAGAGCCTCATTCACTGCCGGCGGCTCGTCGCACCGAAGCGAGGATGGTGACAGGAGGATTTATTGCCCCTCAACCCCAAACAGAAATTTTTTGAACGGCCCGTTTTTCAGCGTCTAATCGGACAGAAATGGTCTCCTCGCAAAATCGCGGTTCCAATGATACTTTGAAAAATAGTCCTGCGACAATTTTGACCGAAGCTTCGACCTTCCGTTTTGCAAAAGTTGGAGATGGCTCCGCACTGGCTGCAGTCCGGTCCCAGACGGCGCGCGGCGGCAAGGGTCTGGGGCTCGCATTGTTCCCCGGCGAGGGCCTCGCCCGGCTACCTGCAGCGGGGGCTGCTTCGGAAACAACTCGGCGCGAGAAAGACAAGACATCGCTTGTCTCTCTCTTCTGTTGAAGGACCTGCAAAACTAGCCGCCTTTCGGAAAAACCTCCTGGATAAACCGTTTGTTCTAGCGACACGAAACTTTTTGCAATCAATAGAGGAAGGTCCTGGCTGTGTGGTAAAGGTTTTTCAACCTCCTCACTCTTGCACTTTTGTCGCTGCGCACTTTGGAAAAATGACCTTTTTCAAGGCGTTCCAGGAGCTTTCCCTTGAACCCGATCGCCGTGAAAATTCTTCGCAACATACCTACAACCTTCATTAACCTGGGTGCAAAATTTTATTGAGCTTCTTCCATTGGTTCTCCCGGGATACTTTTCCGAAAAGGGCTAAAAACGCTAAATTTTCGAACTTGTAAGCATCGCCACGCTTAAACTATGAGTCGCAGGGAAAAACCGCTCGGCAGGATTAGAGAACACACCCAGCACTATCAAATGCCAAAAATTTTTTTTTGCCACCCGTACGCCCTTAAACTTCCCCAGTCAAGACCCAAATACAGGTCCGTGCTCGGGGCCCGGCCGCGAGGGCTTTGGCGTGCTGGCGCGTGCAGGCCGCGTGCAGGCCGCGTGCGCGGGGCCCCGCCTGGGGCATTAGCTCGGCGTAGCTCGGCGTCCCCAACCAACCCCCGGCTGCCACGACGCCGTCACGGCCCCTCCAGAGCGGTCCACCGCCCCCTTCCAGTGACGCGACGTGACGCCGCGTGACGCCCCGTGACGCGCCGGCGAGACGCTGGGACGTGACCAACGCCTCCCTCTCTCTCCTTCCGGCCCCGGGGCCTGGCGAGGGCGGATCGGAATAAAAAGTAGGTCGAAGCACTTCTACCCGGCAAAATGAAACGCTTCCAAAGGGCTTCTGGCAGTGCTCGCCGGGCGGGGCGGGGCGGGGCGGGGCAGCGAGGTGTTCCTAGGTGCGTTGCACTCGTCGTGCCACCCCGCCCTGGCGCTGCGACTCTGATTGGCCGACCGGGCTTCCCTCTGGCCGCTGACGGCCTGACGGCCTGACGCATTCGATTCGCCCCGTTCGCCCTATTCAACCGCAGCCGAGCGAGGCCGGGTAACGCTGGTCGGGCTGCCCGGGCAAGGCTCCGATGGGCTTCCCTGTCTGCGGAGAATAAACGTCGCAATAAGAATAAGCGATCCGGGGCTGGCGGCCTGGCGGCCCGGCGGCCTGGGGGGCATCGGCCTCCGCTCGTGGCGCTCCTGCTCCTCCTCGAGGACTGTTCGCGTGACCGGGGCGACGCGGCGACACGGCGACGCGGCACGGGGCTCTCCAGCAGCAGTGGAATCGAACCCGCGCTGCTGTCGCTGCAGTGCCTGCAGTCGAGAGGGAAGCAAGGCGGGGCCGGCGGGGCCCATGGAGGACCTCGGACTCAGCTGGAGTGCCAGGGCTCAGAACAACAGAAGCAGGCTCGTCCAGCCACGCAGACCGATTCCGAGAGTCGGTTTCGTCGCTGTCTCTCTCGCACCTGCGCGGGAAACCCCATGAGTGTGAGAGAGTTAGAGCCAGCCAGCCAAGCCACACCGCGAGGCCCACCTGCCGCATTGGCATCCGAGCAGCACGCCGGTGGGGGGAGGGGGATTTGCCTGACCACCTACCGGTGTCTTCGGGAGGAGACTCAAGTCGCGCTATGGGTTTCCCGTGTTTCGAGTTTGCTTTTTGCTTTTCCTTTCCAGCAGTCTGGCTTTCCATTTCCAGTTTGGCTCCTGGGTGCGCCTCGCCGCGTCGTCGCGTCGCGCTATGGTCATCGGGTCACTCATATCACGCCCTGCCCCGCCCCGCCCCGCCCGTGGCGCACCGCGCCTCGTCCGCATTGTGTTCCGAATGCCGAACAGCCAGCAGACGAATTCCGAGAGTCGTTTTCGTCGTCGCTGTCTCTCTCGCGCCCTAGGGGCGTCGTGTGTGGGTGCGAGGGAGACGGTGCGATGAAAACGACTCTCGGAATCCGTCTGCTGCAGGGGCTCAGGAGGGGCTCAGCTCGGCTCGGCTCGGCTCGGCTCGAATCAACATGCCGTGCGTCGCCTCGCGAGTATTTGCGCACACACTTAGCGGCAGTGTCGCCAAGGCACGGCTCGCACGGCTTCCACAGCGACGCCGCGCCAGCAGACTGATTCCGAGAGGCGTTTTCGTCGCTCTGTCTCTCTCGCACCTGTACGGGGCGCCCCATGAGTACGAGAGAGACAGAGCGACGAAAACGATCCTCGGAATCAGTCTGCAGGCCGCGCCAGGCCACGCCAGGCACCCACTGGATGGATGGGATGGGTGCGGAGAGCTGAGGTGCGGGGCACTGCAGAGCAGGGAGGGAGCCCAAACGCAGTGCCCAAACGCGGTGCCCCAACATGGCCCAGAGGACCATGAGCATTTTGCACACCCACAGCAATTGTAGCTGGGCTGAATGCCCAATGATATCTGACATCATTGCCATGCGGAAGTCCTGGCACAAAAGATTTGGGGCAGTGGTGGAGTCCTCTGCCAAGGAACTTGTCGATTCAGCTTAGATACACAGTGCATTGCAGGAAACGTGCAGTGACATTGTAGATACTTTGTAGACACTCCTTGAGATACTGTCACCCGGCTGCCAAGCATGCTAAGTCCATCGACGTGCTATCAGCAGTGGCCATTCAGGTAGCAACAACTCGATGCGGACTTTGCAGCAGCCAGGTTTGATACATACAATGTGATAAAATTAGCAGCACAGAGACAGGCCTCAACAATCTTCACTATGTCATTCATACCAGTGAGAGCAAGTGCATGCCACGACAATGCAAGGGGCTTGATAAGATATCTTGCAGCGACTTCAAGGTAAATCATGCATATTATTATAGAGCAATACAGTGATCTGATGCTAGTAAAAATATGATAAATCATGTTGGCATAAGGAAGTAGAAAACAAAAGACCCAGAATTGTATTGGAAAAAGTGGAAAATACGGATCAACAACCACAAACATTTATTAAGGCAGTTTATAAGACTAGAATAAATTTTGAACTTGACACAAAATCTTAACCCAGGTAAAATACTATGATTAAATTTTATGCATATATGCCTCAGTAAGTTTTAAGTTCAAGGCAGTGCCAAGTTTTGTTCTTAAACCGAATGTAAAATATGTTCTCATTCTACCTGAGTTAGGTTAAGCCCCGTGTGCAGTGATTCCATATATGCAACAAGTGATCCTAGCGAAACAAAAAGCCAAAACAACGCAGCTACGGGACGTTCCCGAGAATCCAAACCCACAACCATACACGTCTGCGCCTGCGAGCACTTAAAAACTAACCAAAGAAGTAACAGGCACCGCGAAAGAACAGCAAAACTGCCAGATGTGTCGATGACAAATGCGGGTGGTCCATACACCAGGGACGAACACAATGCCAGCCAACCCACAGCTCCACTCAAACAGACAGCGTCACACTTACCTTTAAGCGTTAAGGCAGCCTGATGAAATCCCGGGCAGACTTTAGGTATCCACCACTGTGATCAGGTTATGTCTCACGGGTATCCAAGTGAGTGTCTCCACAAGTTGCACGATCCCCCAACACACACGGCCAGCGCAGCGCCGCAGTTGCACTCTCTCACACAGAGGCACTCTCACGCACACACACACACACACACAAAGGCGCGCGCGGCGACCCGAGCACGGCGCCAACTCGAATCTACTCGCGAGCGACTCGCCTAAACCCGAATCTAGATCCCCGTCACTTCCTGCATCCACAAAGATTCGCACACGGGCGGTGCGCGCAGAGAACGCCTCACCTTGGGAGCTGTTGCTCCACCTGAGTCTCAGATACAACTGCTGTCTGCTGCGTTCTCTGTCTGTGTCTGCCTCGTTCAGCTCGGCGGCAGCGGCGCGCCCGGTATAGTCCGTCCGCTCAGCAGCGCTCTGGCGCGGAGCGCGGACCAGCACGGCGGCCCCGAACAGTATCACGGCGCGCTGCAGCGGTGGGACTATGTATTTGCGAAAAGGACCGGCTTGCTGTTTGAATCTGTTAGAAGCGTCCAAAGTGTCGCGCGTCGCTGGCGGGGCGCACGGTGCTGTGCCGGCGGGCTTACGGTGTAAGGCAGCGAGGCAGCCGTGGCGCGGGCGGACTGTACCGCAGCTGACGGCAGCGCCGCCGTTGGCCACCATTGGCCGCGGCGCTCCAAAGCACTCCAGCCGCCAAGATGAACCAGTCGCCCGAGCGCGGAGCGGCTGCTGCGGTGTAGTGGCAGTGCGCCGCGCACCTGGCCCGTCCCGCTCTACTCCATGCCCGCCAGGCTCAAGCCCGGCTGTTGTTGCCCTTTTGTTTTCCGGGCGATTGCACTCGAAAAGGCTACGCGAAGGCGGACGTCGACCGGCGAGAATGGAATCGGGTGCGATTCGTCTTTCGTCTCGGAGTGGACCGAGTGGACCGGCCGGCCTGCCTGGGGGGAGACGGAGGGCCGCTGCCGGCTCCGCATGTCTCTCTCGCACCCACGCAGGACGACCCGAGCGACTCTCGTAATCAGCCTGCGGTGTAATGGCTCGAGCTTTGTCGTCCCGATGTCTTGGTGGTCTTGGTGACGAGCGCCGGCAGCGCCAGCAGCATGGAGATGGAGTGTGTTTCCGGTTCAGTGATAAGGCATCCAAGGCCGAGCTGCGCGGCGCCGGGCCGGGCCGAGTACCCAATGCATGGAGCAGCATGGAGCGTCAGGGAAAATCACCCATGAGAACGACGACGACGCGGGGAGGGGGCAACAGGATTTCAGCTTTTAGTCAGCAGACTGATTCCGAAATAGTCGTTTCGTCGCTCTGTCTCTCTCGCACTCATGGGTCGTGAGGGTGGGAGAGAGACAGCGATAAATTTTCGAAATCGCGCGGCAGCACTGTCATTAGGCGTCGCGCTTGAATAGCTCTCGCGACGCCGCGACGTCAGCGCCGGGAGAGGCGCGGCGACACCGAGGGGGTGCCGCACAGTGGGCCAGAAGGCCGGTGGAGCGGTCAAAATTCTAGACGCGTTTTGAGCTCCAGAGTCGCTAAATGGGACTCAAACCAAACGTGTGACCCCACCAATGGATTTCTCTCCGAACGAGGAATCCATTGGTGGGGTCACACGCTCGGTTCGGTTCCTGTTTAGCGACTCTAGAGCTCAAAACGCGTCTAGGATTTTGGCCGCTCCACCGGTCTTCTGGCCTACTGTGTGCCGCGGAGAGCGCCTCAGTGCTGTCCGCCGCTGTACTGCCGGCAGCGCATATCGGATCAAAATCTAAATTGCACCGACTCCGCGGGATGGAATAGACACGCCCAAGGCAGAACTGGAGTGTTTCCCAGGGGCTACTCAAGGGGGCCGCGAGTAGCTCCCGGGCGGGTCCCTCCGACGCGTTTGAAGGGTTTCGCGCTGGACGCGCCACACACAGCAGGGCCTGCAGGGCCGACGGGCAGCCATTGGGGGCCAGCGTACCGTGCCGTACCGTATACTGCGTGTGCGGCCCAGAAGGTCCGACCGGGTCCGGATGTTTGGTGAAAGGGCCGAGAGGATGGGACGCTCGAGTCCTGCCACCCCGCCCCGCCCCGCCCCGCCCGTCTGGGGCGAACGCCCTTTCAAGAGGCGCCCTCTCCGCCGCGACGCCGGTGGGGGTGGGGTGGGGTGGGGGTCAGGCGTAAACAAGCCGAGAGCGCGCGCCGCTCGGCACGCCACTCGCCACGCGCATTGCGGCGGCACTGTTCAATCGGCCGGGTCAATCGGGTGGAGCGCGCGACCCGAGTGCCCCGTTCCAATCACCGCCCAAGAGTGGTCATTCTGCGCCTGAGACAAAGGTGGTTTTCTCTCGGAGCCAGTCGAGTTTTCACCAGTCGCTGCTGCCCGGCTGACTGACGGCTGACTGTCGGCGGCCCTGGGCTGCCCTGGGCCTTCCCCGGACGTAGATCCGAATCCAGCGGCCAGCGAGGCTGACGGGACGGCCGGGCCCCGGAGAAAACGGCGCCCAGGCGGCGTGGCCAGGACCGCCAGGACGGTGACAGGCCGCCGCGTGCTCTCTGCTCTCTGGACTGGCAAATTATTCGCACGCCCGCCCGCTGGAGTCGCGCTGGAGTCGCGGTCCTGCGTCGCTGCCGCCGCCAGGCACGAGGCCAAGAAAGTTGCATCACCAGAGTCACCGCATAGTCATCCCGTACTTCGCATCGATGGCAGTGGCGTGGAGCGTGCGACAGCCTTCCTGTATGCGAGCCAGTTCGCCAGCTAACCGAAGTGACACGGAGTTGCACGGAGTTACACGGACTGCGCGGATTTGGCATCTGGCGCTGCTTCGCGGTTCGCCGGCCTCGCCGTGTGCACGGTGTTGTCGTCCCGCCCCGCCCCTTGCCCCGCCCCGCCCGCCGCGCCATTAGCGCCCCTTGTTTGCCTTCGCCTGCTTCGCCGTTTGCCGAGGCGGTGAGCACTGAGCAAACCCGGGGGGTGGCGCCGTGATTCGCATCCCCCGGCGCCTGCATCCACGCCTCGCCAGCACGCCAGCGCGCCAGGACGGAGGGCACGGTGTACACCAGCTCCTTACTCATGCTGTCCCGGGAACGGCGTCCCCGGCGCCTCGCGACACCTCTGTCTAAACACACTGTGCAATGCGAGCTAAATTGTCCGCGGACGCGGCGCGGCTGCGCGGCGACGCCCTCGGTGACGGCGAAGCGGTGACGATGACGGCGACGCCCCGCCCTCTGCCATCTGCTGCCGTACGATAACGGCCTCTGAATCACCCCGGCCGCCCCGCCGTCCCACCGCCCCCGCTGCGCACAACAAGCTGGCCGTTGACGTCGTCCGCGTGCTATCAGGTGCACCCGATGGTGGTGCCGACAGTGCCGACCGCCGAGGGCGCGCCGCGGCACGCCGAGAGGTCCAAGGGCGGCGAGGCGAGCCGCACGCCCGGAAAGCCCCGGGTAGGCCGACCGCTCCACTCGCCGGCACGCCGTGGTGCCTGCCGCCCATTGCCATTACCATTAAGGGCTAGACCACACGGGCGGCCGCAATCGTTTCCGTCGCCCTGTCTCTCTCGCACCGGTACGGGCCGCTCCGCGAGTGCGAGAGAGACAGCGCGATGAAAACGCCTCTCGGAATGAGTCCGCTGGAATCCCCTCGGTATTTAGCTCGTAATTGGGCGGCAGTAGGGCCGCTAGGGCCGCCGCCAGGACCGCCGGGGAGACAGAAGGCTGCAGGCTGCAGGCCCTGCATTCTCAATGGGCCGGACTGGGCGGCCCCGCGGCCCGACCAAGACCAAGACCAAGGACAAGCAGAGGGAGAGTGGGAGCCACGCGGGCTGGGGCCGCTGCCTCGCTGCCTCGCTGTAGCAGCTGGAGCAAGAGGAACCGCGAAAGCTGCCTCACGACGCTCTTGCTGCGTTTTATTCTAGTTTTACTCTAATTTTCCTCAAGTTTTACTCTAATTTTACCCCAGTTTTACCCTAGTTTTACTCTAGTTTTACTCTAATTTCACTCCAGTTTAACTCTAATTTTACTCCAGTTTTACTCTAATTTTACTCCAGTTTTACTCTAATTTTACTCCAGTTTTACTCTGCTTCCTGCGCCGTCACTTTGAACCGGCGCGTCGATAGCGCACGCACCCTGGAGCAGGAAAGAGCCGGCTTGAGTCCCCCGCGCAGGAAACAATCAGAGCGTCACAATTCATTAACGAAATCGAGCGGGCATCGCTTGCGCTCGGGGATCGGGGCGCTCGGAGAATAACTGACTGACGTTCGTTTGGAAATAACGGCCTCCCGGCTGCAGTGTGTGCGTGCGTGATCTTGCCCCTAGTCCTGACGGGGCTATATGTCCTCGGCGTTACGTCCGGATCCTCCCACCGAACCAGGCCGTTCTCCCCACTCCGTGGCAGCGGCAGCGGCAGCGGCCCGAGCTCCTGGCCGCCAGCCCACAGCCCCGCCCCGCCCCGCCCCGCCCCCGCCCCGCCCCGCCCCGCCCCCTGCGTGCATTCGGGTTCACGGGCGTACCTCGGCCCGGTCACACGTGGAAGCCCAAAAGAAGGACATCACGACCAGTACACCGCTTGCGCATTCGAAGTAGGGGTAGGTTGGGGAAGAAAAGTACAAAACGCGTACTTTGCACTGTATACAAGTTCCAAATGAGGATTCAACTATTCTGCTCTCGTGAACTTGTAATCCAATGCCTTCCTAATGAAATGGATCACTGTTCGTTGATTATAGTTCCCCACATTACGTACAACATGCCAAAATGTATGTGATTTCGGAACTCCTCGAAAAGGGGAAGAAAAGTACACCACCGGGAAAGAAAAGTACAACGAAAAGAATTCCGAGTTCGAACCAGGAGACCGCCAATCTTGGCTCAATACAGGTTTACCCCTAAAGTGGAGAGCTTTCACTTGCCATTAGTTCAAGTTTCGTCAAAATCGGTCAATTGGTTCTGATTCTACATGGACTCATCACAGAAGGTCCAAGAAGCCTTTTCTTAGAGATAAGTGGGTACAGCATTTTTGTACTTTTCTTCCCCTTTTCACGTAAATGCCTAATAACTTTTTTATTTCGGGTCTAATTTTATAACTTGTGTTGACATTTTTTGCTTGTCTCGTCTAATCAAATCTATTTCCGTGATCAATTCAATTTTCATCCCGCTTTTAGTTTCTTAGAGGGTGTTCTTTTCTTCCCCAATACATGTACTTTTCTTCCCCAGCCGACTGTACTTTTCTTCCCCATTTCATTTTTACACTTATAAAAAATTGTGTTGAAGCCTAAGAGCATCGAACGGCACTGTTTTTCAAAGATGATGGTCCAAGCTATAAGGTGGTACCTTACATTGGACTGTCGGCTGATTCTGCAGGAAGCTGTACTTCAAAGTACAAACATTTAAAAAAAAGATTTTCATAGTTATTTTTAATGTGTTTTTCAAACGTGCAGCTTGATTCTAAATATTATATATAGAACTGGGCTAAATTTATTTTTTGTGAGCGGGATGACCAATCTTTCTAAAACCACTAACGTGATGGTTCAGTGTAGTTTCAGTTCGGAGATATAACGGGTGTACTTTTCTTACCCGACCTTCGAGTGTACTTTTCTTACCCAACCTACCCCTAGAACCACGCATGGGTGAGTGTGGAGGGACCTGCACTGTTCGAGACTGCGTTTCGTTTCGTTGCCGCCATTCCCCCACCGGGCGACTCGAGTCCCACCACCAGAAGGTTTCGCGCCGGTAAAACAGTAATTCGTCGCTTTTCCGCTTTCCGTCCTGCCGGGCTGCGACCTGGCCCCTCTCTTCTATCCGTACGGTGTGCCCACACTCGACCCAGAGTCTCAGGGTCAGCCCGTGCGGCTCGCGCCTTGCTCGCGCCCAGGGTGGCATGAGTGGCATGAGTGGCCGAGCCGAGCCGAGCCGGCCGAGGCCCGAACCGAAACTAGCCCTCGTAGCCTCAGGCCCCAATGAAAGTGTGCGTACGGACGGGCCGAGCCGGGCCGAGCCGGGCCAGCCGCGGGCGGCACACAACAGCGAGGCACGGGACTTCCCTTCCCCCTCCACTCCGCTTACCTAATTCGCTGTGTCGATCTGACACATGAGTCACTCCGTGCCGGACCCGTGCCGGGAAGCACCTTTACAGTCCTGGCTTTACAGACACAAGGCTCTCGCAGCAGGCAGCCGAGCTCGACCCGCCAGCACCGAGCTATGCAGCGCCGAAAGAACCAGAAAAAAACTCACGCACACTCTTGGAGGCGTGGCGCAGTTTGCGACAGGATAAATGACGCGTTGCTTTTCGAAGAACAAAACGCCTTACATCGCGTGCGTCGCGTTGCGTCGCGTTGCGTCGCGGCGATTGGAGGCAGGGTGAATGAGATCTCCGATCGGCGTCACACACACACACACACGCACACACGCACACTTGCATGTTTTGCCCGCGCGCGGGGCTGCAGAAATAGCACAGGCCGCTGCTGTGGCCTGGTCGGGCGTGTACGATGTGATGACATATGCCAACACCACACGCCCCGCCGCGACCGCGCCACGCCACGCCACGCCACGCCATCCACCACCCAAAGCACACAGACTGGGTGGGTGATACGCATCGCAGATACGCTCCATCAGCAAACACCCCGCCAAAAGAGTTGATCAAAGCCGGTCCTATTAACGGCGCTCGCCAAGTGCACAGAGTATAGAGTGTACGCACTTTTGTGCCGCTTTATCGACGTCTTCGACCTGCCGTTGACGCCTGCGAGGTAGGCCAGCAGCCCGGCCCGCAACGCATCACTGTGGATACGGTGGCCTACCTCGCCCCCGTCGTCTGCACAGGGGCGAGGTAGGCCACCGTCTCCACGCCGGTGTGTTGCGCGCCGGGCCGGTGGCCTACCTCGCAGGCGCTTGCGCACCAGTACCACACGCTTACCGCACGCCTAGACAGTGCAGCTGCCGAACCCACACCGTGAAACAGCATTTGTGAGGCCACTGGGGCCACTGCCTTGTGGCCGCAAACAGAGGCGGGACGCTTTGCGCGACTGCGCGGCGCCTCGCACCGCCATTACACGCCGGTCGCTCCTTTTATTCGGGCGGCCATCACCGCGGAGCCGCAACCGGCCGCAACAGCACGACGAAAAGGAACAGCGCCGGGTTCAAATACCGGGCGCGCTGCGTTTTATTCGTTTCCCTCTGCCGCGTCGTTTGGAGGCACGGCGACATAACGCCGCGGCGTATCGCCTCGTCACGGCCACGCAATGCGGCAAGCGCGAGGCACGAAGCCACGGCGAGAACAAAGAGGACAAGAGCCACCGCCACTGTACTAGAGAGAAGAGGCTAGAGGGACGAAGCTAGAACTTTGGCAGCGGGACGGAGGTTCGAAAGCCAACGGTCGGGTCCAGAGGCGTCCAGAGGGGCAGTCTTGGCGGGCTTGGTTCGGCGGACATGCTCTGCAGATCGCGGCCTGGCGACAGCGCGGAGCACGGAGCTGATAATGGACCTCTCAGCGCAGCCCAAAGTCCCACAGGCCGTGGCAGGCCGTGTCAATCATGCGCACCCACGACCGCGCTGCGGCACGGCAGCGACGACGCGGCGAACCTTGGTCCATTTCTTTGATTCGTTGTTGTTGTATTTGTTGCTGTTGTTGTTGCCAGGATGCAGGACGCGCCAAGATCAAGGCCGAGGCTGAGCCGGGTCGTTGCATGCGAGTCCCTGCGAGTCCCCGCGGCGCGGCGGCAGCGCGGCGGCGGGTACAATGCGCTGGAGGTCCTCCGCCTGCTCGGCCTGCTCGGCCTGGCCCCGGAGGCCGCGGCGAACGACGACACCGCCACGCGCCGCCACTCTGTGCGAAAAGCAGCTCGGAAAGAGAAGAACCTCAAGTTGCGAGTCTTGGAAGACAGTGTCCCAGCGTTACGAAATTATGTCCACTCGAATGCATTTTGAGGCTAATCCCAGCCCGCTCCTGCTTTCCAGGATGCTGGTCGCGCTCCCGCGAGACAGAAGGCAGGGGCAGGCTCTGCAGCCTGCAGCGGTAGTTGACATCGGCCCGACACGAGTTAACACCAGCCTGACACGCCGACGCCAGCGTCCGACACCGACTCACTCTGTGTCACTCTGGGCGTGACGGAGTCGGGGCGAGGAGTCTGCCCTGCCCGTGACTGTGCCACCGATTTCTGGATTATCAGCCCTTCCTGCCACTCACTGCTAGCACTGCTAGCTTGCTCTTGTAGACCGCCAAGAGGGGCTTTAGCCCTAAATGGGGCAAATCCCACATTTCCTCAAACAGAGGACCCTAAAGCGTTCGTTCATTCCTTCACATGGTGATGGATCAGAAGCATGATTCTAAAATCAGAGGGAAAGCCACTCTTCGCTTAGCGCTGCCCGTTATGCGGAGTTGAGAAGCAGGGGCCGAGGGCCCATAAAACTTTTCGTATACGGACCTTCGCCGCGCCGCGCCGCACCGCGCGCACAACCACCCCGAAGCGAGTCCGCTCGCTCCAAACCCCAAACACATCCCCTCCTTCTGGGAGTACTCACTGTCCTGTCTATCTTCATCTGGGATTCTGGGATGGGAAGCGCGCGGCGAGGCGCTGCCGCTGTGCAGCATCCATCCCAATAAATGTGTGTGTGTGCGCGCGCGCGTGTGTGTGCGTGTTTCCGTTGGCTGCACTGCGTGGCACACGTCAATTAAACCACTGCGGGTGGTCCCTGCTGCCGCTCCCGCCTCAAAACATCTCTGTACACGCGGCGCGGCACGCCACGCCACGCCACGCCACGCCACGCCACGCCGCGCCACGCCACGCCACGCCACGCCACGCCACGCCACGCCACGCCACGCCACGCCACGCCACGCCACGCCACGCAACGCCACGCCACGCTAGACTTGAGGCAGCTGGGAGAGTCGCGCAGTCCTCGGCGCCGTGCACGCCTGCCCCCGCCCGCCTGATGATCATGGTCATGGTGGGCGGGACGGCGGGACGGGCACAGCGACGAAGAGATCGAGCGCCTGCAGTCGTCGTCGGGTAGGTCCTCAAGCCTTGGGGCCTTGTGCTCACTGGCACTGGGTGAAAAGAAAGCCCTTTTCGAGAAATTCCTTTTTGTGTTCGTGGCCTCGGTGCCCTTGGGGAGCGAAGCGCCGCGCTTACAGGCAGAGTCTGCGCCGGCCGGATTTGAGATCCCCTGGAATGTCAATGTCCAGGGCGTGTGGGGGGAGGGGGAGGGAGGGGCCGCGCGCCGCGAGGATTCCTGCCGTGCCGAGGCGATGCCCGGCGTGGCGTGTCCGCGACCCGCTGCCTTGTTTCGCGGACAAGTCGTTCCGAACGACGCACTGCCATGGCGCCACGTCGGCGCCACGGCACTGCAGAGTGTCGAGCGAGGCAGAGCACGGCAGAGCGGTGCCGGGTGGTCGCCGCGCCGGTTGGGCTGCCGGACAGGGTGGACTTGGTTTGGACTCCGCGGGCAACAGGCAACACCGGCAACGGCAGCCACGCTTCCGCGGCTACATGGGCGGGGAGGGGAACGGGGAATGCCAGCCAGCCGGCGTGGCGATACTCCGAGCGCAGCGGCAGCTTCGGCTTGGGCCGGGAGTATGGGCGGCGGTCTGCAAGGGGGAGGAGGGGGGAGGCATTTTGACCCTGGAATCCTGTCTAATCTTCAATTTACGAAACGCGGTTTGCTAAGCTCTTGAATTAGAGATGATCAAATATTTTTTTCACAACATCTGCAGCAGGAGTGAATTTATTCGTTGTTTGTAATCCATGGCTTGGAGATCAAGGCGAGGGATGATAGTTTTGACCAATAAGCACAAGATTATATTAGGGTTTTGCAATTGTTATTTCCATGTTTCTACATTTTTCCAGTATAAAGGTTGGAGGTCATTTTATCAGTTTTTTTTTAACAAGGTCTTAGTTGAACAGAAACGATAATTTCTAGCAAAAACAGTTTGTAATCTTGAAATAATTTTAAACAGAACAAATCATACAGGAAATCTATGCCATTTAATCACATGTGCCTCATGCACATACATTGTTCAGCAAGAAACGCCATTATAACACAGCCATGACAGCAAACATCATTTAGTGATAAATTTCCCTGACATCCTATCAAAATTAATTAAATTACAGCCCAACCGGCAATCAGGTAAATCAAAGACAGTTGTCAGTCTAATTTTTAAGTCCACTGGAAAGTAAACATTTCAGGACACAATGTGGATGTAGCCTCAGATCCAAGTCTTTGAAAAGATCTGTGCATACGCAAATACACACAAACTTTTGTAAGAAACGCCTAATTCTACTTGTAATTACTAGAATATTTTAGAAAAATAACAAAGTAACATCTGGGAAGAAGATAAGTAGACAATGGAAATGTGCAAAATTGTCATTAAGCACTGTGGTATGAATTAATAAAACTAAATTGATATTTAAATCAGGACCTGCCCGCAGGTTCTGTTACTTGACTCTTGACTGCATCGTCCTGGTAACTTGCTATGAGCAAATCCTTAGTCAAGCCCATGAGCTTGCACCTTCTGCATTATCATAATTGAGCACATGAAGGTACAAAGTTTGTTTAGGTTGAGCATTTCCTCTATCCCAGGGGTATAAAAAAAATTTAATACAGAAAACTTGCAGTATTTTTCTTCAAAACTAATGAATGGATTACTCAATCCTCTACTAGTTAAATCTGGTCTCCTCACGCACATAACCAGAAGCCAGGGCCCTGTCGAACCTGCCTGTAACATAAACCTAATTTTGGTCATTTGCCATGGAGAATGGACTATAATAGTCTCCGCATCGGTGTCCGCTCCGTAGGGGAAAAAGTAAAAAGCACAGCCCATCGCTAGCTTCCCTCTGAGATCTGGCAAAAGAAGAGATCATAGAGGGCATGCCAACGTGCTATTTGGACCACAATTTGGCTTAAGTTAAAGGCAGGTTCATCTGTCCGTGTTTTTATACCTCATTTGGTTCACACGATTCACATCTACCCCAATGAGAAGAGGGGGCAAAACATGACATAATCACATTGAAAATACTGTTCTCATTCCCTTATTGTTTCTTATCCCTTCAATAACTTCGTACAGTGATTTTAGTATTATCAGATATCAGCCCTTAAATTGTACACATTCTTCTAAATGAGTTAAAAAAACTTAAAAAAAAAAAACAACAAAAAACGGGTTGATTGAAATCTTCTTAGAAGTCTGCAAAAGTGACCACAAGATTGGTACAGTTAAATTTTCATTCGTTATGTTCACATTTTCTGAGTCTGGAGTTTCAATTGTCAATTACCAGCCATGAGCAATCAGTCCACCCAGCCATGAAGTGATCCTGTTTACAAAGATGGTGTTACTATAAGATGCAATGAAATACAATATATAATTGAATTTTTCAAAGTCTAACTAAATTATCAAACTTACGTCTAGTGAAGTTGTGATGTGTAACTCGTATATGGATATCTTGTGTTGCGGCTTGTCCTGGAACATGTGTAGTATACCAAACTATAGAGACTGTTTTAAAACATTCAGAGATTAATATAAATTTTCATAATCACGATCAACATGACCTCAGACATGACAAAAAAGCTCTCTGAGAACTGAGAAAAACGTTATCTTTGCTTCAAACTCAGACTGCCAAGAAAATGAGAAACTGTAATCATAATTTTCTCATGTAACTTCAAGGGTAATGGGTCACCAAAATACTGCAATTTGAGTTTTAAAGCTTTTCCCATACTTTGTGTAGTTGGAAGATGTGTAGTTATTATATTTTACTACTTGTAAGAGAAAGGCATGCAAGGGCACATCCACAAATCTGATAGCACTAATTGTTAAGTTTAAATGGTAGTAAAAATGCTGTTAAAACACACAAAACTCTCTCAATAAAAAATACAACACTTTTATTACAATGTGAGAAATACAGTCACAAAGGAAATTATTGAAATCAACATAAAAACAAAATGTACTTGTAACCTGAAATCCTCGTCATACATTCTGCCAAAAATTCCAAGTTGCAATAAGACATAAAATGTCCAAGATGCTGTGACAAAAAAAATAAATCCTAGACTTAATTTTAGTAACAATTTGGGACAAAAGATAATTCATATGCACACTGGCAATAATAAGTCATTGACTTTCAGGTAACAAACAAAAGATTGTGTACTTGGGGTACTAACACAGAAAATAACAATTCCTTACAATACTACCCTACAGAACGCAAACAAACAATCATACATAAAAGGGAATGTATAAAAGATCTAAACGTCAAGAAAAGACATTTTTTTGTCAAATGGAAGGAAGAACAAAATGAAAACAGTAACAGCTCAAAATCCAGCAGATTTTAAAAATCATAACAAAATACCTAACTTAGTTAGTCACAGGTCTGGTCTAATGGACTAATGTTTTTCAGACTCATAAGTCAAGAGTGACTCTTTATGAAAGTCAAACTCTTATGGACACTAACACCAAATTTCAGGGCCTCAAATAGAAATAGCAGCACAACAGCAAAGGCAGCTTGCTCAACTATTAAATAGCTGCACTAGAAAGTTTCATATCAAATGGAATCTATTTAATTAATCATATTTGTAAAATATGACAGTCGAAAAGAGTTAGCCTGGACCCAGGAGGCATCAATACTACTGGTAAATATCAGTTAAAAGTCCAAAAATATGACATCAAGTGTACTATAGAAATCACAATATGAAATGTAAAAGTAACAATTATCATGATGTTGATTAACTAAACAACAATGGGCACATTGAGGATCACTGAATACAGCCTTAACCTGGTCTGTGTTTGGCTACCAGTGGTACTCCATTCCAAGATCAATATCCAAATATATTATGCAGAACATGTCACCATGAGTTTTGTTTAGTTTTATGACTAATAAAAAGGCCCAGATTGTAAAAAATAATCATTTAAAAAATCACATGTTATAAAGGCACTGTGATACAGCATGCAATACACAAGAATACACATGATGTTCACTGTGAATTCAATTTATCACAGGAAAATATTGCTACTCTTCATGTCCATGTCCAGGTGAAGGAAAGAGCATGTTAGGAACACACATGGCTGTTGGAGTGGGTGCCAAGGCTAGAGGGGCAAGAGCAGCATCCAGAGCAGGGGACGCAAGAGAGGGGAGAATGCTGGAAGGCGGAAAACCAGACAAACCCAGAGCATGCAAGCCATTGGGACCCGTGGGGCCGCTGAGGTTGTTGTCACTACCTAGGCGCATGCGAGGCACATCACATGTCTCGCAAGCCTCCAGAAGATAGTGATTATGGAATGTACAAGTTTGACAGGTCCAGCCACGTTCATTGATTCCTTCTTCGGTATCTGTAACACAACATCGACGCATCATTAATTCCAGAATAAATCAACAAGGACAACTTTACAATACCACAGTAGTAAATTGTAGTAAATTTTATTTTTAAAATTCAGAGACGTTTTAAGAGGTTAAGTCATAGAAAGTATTACAAGTCCCTCTGCCCAAAGCTGCCAAATAAACTTACGATTTTGCGGTGTTTTAGCGTCAACTTCATTTGCCATGCGAGTGCACTCCTCTTGAAGGGTTTGGATTTCTGTTCGCAGTCTCTGAACTTTCTCCATCTAAAAGGGCAGAATAAAACAGGAAATGGTAGCCCAACATTAGTCATAGCCTTACAGGACAGCGCTGCTCTAGCCCAAAATATAGGGGCGAGGGACTTACCACTGGGAGGGCGGGCGGGGCGCGCGGTCGCGCCTGAGCGGTGCGTCTCTGCAGGTCTCTCTCCATTTCCGCCACCTCCTTCTGCATCAACTGCAGCTTGGTTCGCTCCTTGTGCAGCTCAGTCTCAAGTAACAGGCGGCGCTCCAGCTGCCGCACTAGGTGCTCTGCAACACACGGACACCAGGAATCAGGAATCGAGACGCGGGCTTGGGGCCCAGGGCCCCTAGACCCAGGGCCCCTAGACCCAGGGCCCCTAGACCCAGGGCCCCTAGACCCAGGGCCCCTAGACCCAGGGCCCCTAGACCCAGGGCCCAGACCCAGGGCGTGGGGTCGTTGGACACGGAGGCAACACGGAGGCACGCGCCGGCCGGCGGGAATGCCAAACTGAAATTGCAGATCAGCACGGCAGTCGGGATGAATGGGTGGTTGTGGCTAGGCCAGCGCCCCCCCCCCCTTTCACCCTCCTCCCTTGCTCATTCAAAAATACTCGCGGCCAAGCCGAGCGGCGAGAGTCGCATGCCTGGCCACTACGAGTGCGGCTAGAGCGACGCGGGGACGCGGGGATATGACGAGATGTAAATGTTGGTTCGCGTCGTCACGGTCAGGCCCGCGGACAGGCCCAGGCCGGCGGCGGTTGGGGGAGGGGGGCGCGAAGGGCGGCCAGCGAAGCCCTCGGACCTTGAGGCTTGAGGGGCCGCCCAAGGACTCTAGCAGCAGGACCAGGGACTAGGGCGGCCCAGCCGGCCGCCCAGCGCCGCTCGGTCTGCAGAGGGCTGCAGCTGCGGCCAACCTCTGCCTGCACCTTTCATTCACTCGCATATCTCTCAATAAAAAAAAATTAATACAGCAGCGCTTTTTTATTGAAGCAGGGGAAGAAAATAGTTTTTTTCGTGTTTGACGGAGGAGGCGTGTTGGCGTGACGCACTCACGCGACGCCCCCTCCACGGCCCTCCACATCCTGGGGGGCGCAGAGGAATTCGCTTGATGACCCCCGACCGGCCGGCCGCCCCGACGCCTCACAAGAGAAACACTGAGGCTTCTGGCGCGCGCCACGGGAAAGAAAATAACACGCGGGCATTGGAAAACGAGGGGGGGGGAGACGACGAGTAGGATAACATGGGTATGAAAACACACACCTCCTCCTCCCTCTCGGCAGACCGGCGTGCGGCCGAGGGCGGCCGAGGGCGGCAGTGGGCAGTGTGGCGGTCTCTTTATAGAACTTGGCCGTCGAGAAGGCCGTCTATTTCGGAAGGGTTGATGACGCCTGGAAGGTAGGCAGCACAGGCGTCGGTTCGGATTTGCCAGTTTGGATAGCCCAGTTTGGGGTACGCGGGACCGGGCAGGGGCAGGCCGTTCACGCTCTGGGCCTCGGTGGGCTCCGCAGCGCATTCCTGGTCCAAGCTCCTCTCGCCTCGCCTAGCCGGCCTAGCCGGCCTAGCCTCACCGACAGTGGCAGAGCTGGCGGAGCTGGCACCTACCGGGTTGTTACTTATACCGTGATTTAGAACGGTCTCGCTCAACCCGCGCCGCGCGCGCAAACACCTTGCCAAGCACCTGACTGCAGCGGCGGCGACGACACCAGCCCAGCACTCAGCATCGGGGGCGGTTGGGGCGGCTGGGCTGGGGCGGGCAGGCCGACCACACGGCCACGGCGTGGCTCCGTGGGCACGGGGCGTGACGGGGCGTGCACCACACACACAAACATCGAGAAAGAGGCCCCCAACATCTCGAGGTGCCGTTACAGGCGAGAGGAAAGGAACACGACGGGCCGCCGAGACGGCCGAGGAGACGGCCTTGCAACACGAGGCGAGGCGGCCCGGGGCGGCCCGGGACGAGACGTGCCAAGCCAATGATCCGAACACGCTCTTCATCCCGGCATCGCGGCGCGCCGCGGCGGGGCGGACCACAGTGGGCCAGAGACCGGTGGAGGCGGCCAAAACTCTAGACGCGTTTTGAGCTCCAGAGTCGCTAAATGGGCCTCGAACCGAACGTGTGACCCCACCAACGGATTCCTCGTTCGGAGAGCAATCCATTGGTGGGGTCACACGGTCGGTTCGAGGCCTGTTCAGCGACTAAGCTCAAAACGCGTCAAGAGTTTTGGCCGCCTCCACCGGTCTCTGGCCCACTGTGCGGACCGAGCCGAGCCGAGGGACCCACACTGTTGGCAGAGTGGCCAGACAACGCGGACGCCCCTTTTGGTGGGAAACCCCAAACGCCAAAGCGCCAAGCCACCCGATTTACCGAACACGTTCACGGTGGAGTCGGCCACGAAGACCGTCTTCTCGCTGCGCTGCCGCTGGAGCTCGCGGTGCCCGCGCTGGAGCGCGCCGTCGAGGTGCTGCGACGCCCTGGGCCTGCAGGTGGAGGAGGACACACGCCGCCGCCGCCGTTTAGGACTCAGCGAAGCCGAGGCTCGCGGCCGGCTGGAGGGGCTGGAGGGGCTGATGGGGCTGGAGGGGCTGGAGGGGCTGGAGGGGCTGGAGGGGCTGGAGGGGCCGCGGAGGCAAGGCGGCCGCGGGGAGTACGGGGAGCGGAGAGCGCCAGGGACGACCCGCCACGTGCTGGTGTATCACCGACATGGCGGGGCGGGCCCGAAAGGCAGACGATCACTTGTGGTCCAGCCGTTAATCGCAATCGCAATCGCCGTGCGCGCAGGCAGACCCGCGGCACGCGCGTGCGTCGCAGCGCGGTGGCTGCCTACCCGCAAGGCGCTCTCCGTGGTCTCGACCCTGCGCACTCTCCACCGGCACGGCCAGGGCACGGCCGGGGCACCGCCACGGCACCGCGGTGTTGCGTCAGGTCGTCAGCGCCGCCAAGCCAAACACTTCGCGGCCCGCGACAAAGTCATCAGGTGGAAGCCGGGCCGCGTACAACGACAACGCTAAGGCCGGGGATAATTTATGCTCGCCTCGTCCGGCCCCACTCTATTTCGGGCTTGACGCCGCACCGGCCGATCAGGTGCGCGGCGCGCCGCCGTGGCCGCGGCGGGCAAACCCCAGGCCCCGAGGCCTTCACCGCGAGGACTCTTATCGGGTGGGTCGGGATGGGTCCAGAATCCAGACTGCAGCCACCCGAGAACAAACTTGGCTTGGCCGGCCGCCGCGGCCAGAGCGAGTTCTCCGTCTCTCACAGATGGGCGCGAATGTCTCGGACAACGGCGGCAGCGGCGGCAGCGGCGGCAGCGGCGGCAGCAGGGGGCGGGCCGCGCGGGGTGGCGCGCGAACGGGGCGCCGCGTGGCCTCCCCTCGAAGGGCGGTAGGCAGCCGGGGGGCCCGTCGGGAGCCCCATCGGCAGAGCCACCGGCGGCCCGACGGACGCTGCGGACTCTGCGGGGGGACCGGGCGGGGGTCCCGGGACTCCCGGCCCCACTCGGGGCTCCATGAGCACACGCGCGTTTTTCGGCGTTGCGTCCACGACGGCAGGCGCGACGGTACTAAAAAACGGAAGCCCCGGTAAAGGCAATCCAATGGAAGCGACGCGGGGCCCCGCCATTCAAAACCAATGGGCATACCCCCTCCCCCGACTTCGCTTACAGAGGAGGGGGCGTACGGGGCGTACTCTGACCCCCAGGGCCCCACGGGAAAATGGGGTGGGGGAATGCTTGGTCGGCCGGCTGCCGGCAAAAACCACGAGGGGCAGCAGACAGACAGGCAGGCAGGCAGCCACGTGTCTGCCTTAGTCTGCCTCGGCCGAGGACTCGATAGGCTCCGTGACGTTTCCGCGCCGCGAAGATACCGACGCGCCTTCCATGTCATGGGCGTCAAAACCTCAAAGTTCGATTGAAAAGATGCACGATAGTTATTGACGTCGGGCACACGCAAAGTTGGACGCGGCGCGCATCGAGGCGGAATCGCGCCAATCAGAGCGCTGATAACCGAGAAATAAATACAGTGCCGTGGGACGATGATAAGCGCGCAGCTGCCAGGCTGCCACCAAGACCGTCAAGGCCAGGCATGGCCAGGCATGGCCCAGCCCGCGGGAACCAAAGGGCCCAAGCTGTCAGCTCTGTCGCAGCAGACAATTTGGCTGCGACACATTTCAGCGACAGTGTTTTCTTTAGGGGGAAGTGTATTTTTTAAATGAACCCTAGCTTGGGCCAAAGACCAGGGCGGTACGGGGCCCAACGAGCGGCCTGGCCGAGGCCTGGCCGAGGAGGACAAGAGGGGCGTCACGAAGGACGTCACCGAGGCGGGGGCCAGCGGCGTCCTCTGTAGATAGCGCCGACAGACACCAACAAAACTTTATCTGCGATGTATTGCGGCGCTGCGGCGCTGGCCGTCGCCTGTCACGGGGCGGCGGCGTGGCGGCAGCGCACCTCGTTAGGCTCGCTGTCAGCCGCGCGCCATCACTTCACGTCACGCCCTCATGCCCGTGACGAGCTACAGCCACGCCCGTGACGAGGTCCTGCAGCACGCCCGTGACGAGCGCGGCCACCCCGCGCCCCTCCTCCCTCGAAGGCCACAACGGTAAGTGAGGCGACGAGGCGACGGCCAGCGCCGCAGCGCCGCAATACATCGCAGATAATGTTTTGTTGGCGTCTGTCGGCGCTATCTACAGAGGACGCCGCTTCCCCGCCAGTGTAGCGCCAGAGCAGGTGTCTGACGGCGGGCTCGCTAGACGACACGACGAGGCATTCCGATCTCCCAGTGAGTGGCACAGGGGTTCGTACCCCCTTTCCTTCCAGAGAAAAAACACCCGCCACGGCACTGCCATAGCTTAAAAGGGTACAGACCAGATAAAGGATCCCTCCCCCACCCCCAAAGAGAGAGATATAATTCCCTGCTGAAAGAAGCACACTGCGCAGTGCGCACACACTAGAGGGCTCAGACGGTCGGACACTGCGGACGGTATTTCTAGTTCGCTTTGGAGCCGGTAGCAGCGCCACCTGTGTCAAACTGGCGGTCACCAAAGAGAGCTCGATGACACATTAGTCGCAAACTGCCAAAACAAACGGCATTCTTCGAAAAGTAGTGCCTATCTGATGCGGCGGAAAATAATAGACATCCAAAGACCATGCGGTGAATCAGCAGGCACGCTTAGGCTCTCTTACTTCAAAATTTGTCCTGTGCGGACAGGCGGACAAGCCGCGTCCGGCCCGGCCCGCCCGACACAACTCGGGCCGGGCCGGGGCGGGCTCGGATCTGCTCCGTACGCGGGCTGGCAAAACGCGCCGATGTCCGACCGTCTGAGCCCTCTAGCACACACTGTAAACTAGTACACTCACCTCTCATCTCCGGGCTGAGATCCTCCGCCCCCATGGCCACGACCATCCTCTCCAGCTCCTCCCTGCCGGCGGCCGTGCTGGCGGTGCTCCTCGTCGTCGGGGCCGGCTCCTCGGCCAGCGGCTCCATCGCCGGCGCCGGCGGCCGTGGGGGTGCCCGTCGAACCGCCGCGGACGGCGCCACTGGCGGCACGCCGCCCAGGGGCGGCACGGGCGCGCGCGTGCGCATGGCGGACACGCTGCCCAGCCCGTTGGGGCCGATGCAGATCTGGAGCTGCGACTGGTAGCCCTGGCGGGGGTCGTAGGACGACGTCGAGTACGTCAAGCTGGAGCCCTCCGAGATGATGTCGATGGGCGGCTGGGGCTGCTCGGACGGCGGCCGCAGCGTCAGGTTCACGGAGGTGTAAGACCGCGGCGGCACGACGCCCACGCCGTACGGCGCCACCGGCTGGATGTCCATGGAGGCCGTGTGTCGCGGCTGAGGCCCTGCATGCTGAGGCCCTGCATGCTGAGGCCCCAGGGCCGGTCGCAGCGGAGGCCCCGTCCCCAAGTAATGGGCTTGAGGCACCTGGAGTTGCGACCCCGTAGTCTGTCCTGAACTCGGGTAGCTCGCATGGCCCGGGGCCACGGCCGGGGCCACGGCCGGCGCGTGGGGCACTGGGGACACTGGACGCACTGGGGGCACTGGGGATTGTGCTCTGCTGTTCGTGTTCACATTCGCCGCGTGGAATGCACCCTCACTGGGCCCGGTGGCGGGGCGGCGAAGAGAGGCTGGCACCGGTGGCGGCGGTGCCGGCCGGGACGGCGTCGGCGACGGCCTCGGTGATGGTGCAGGTGATGCTGAAGGCGAAGCCACCGGCGAGGCCGCACCTGACGAGGTGGCCGCCGCGGTGGGCGGCGGCGGCGCAGGCCTCCGCTTGCGCGGGGCCCACTGGAAGGAGGCCGTGCTCTTGGCGGTCCTGGAGGCCGGCGCGGGTGGCGGCGCCGCGATGTGCAGGGCGCTCATCTCGGCCACGGGGCTGTCGTCGTGGACGCAGCCGCCCTTGCCGGGACCCTGGCCGGGCCCCTGGCCATGTCCGAGGCCCGCCGGCACGCTGTGGTTGGCCGTGGGGTGGCCGTGCAGGGGCATGCCGGCCGTGCCGGTCATCGGGCACGCGTGCGTGTCCGCGTGCGGGTGCACCATGAAGGCCGGGGCCACGCGGCCGCGGCCACCCTGCAGGCCCTGCAGCCGGCGGAGCGCGCGCTCACACGCCTCGCTGTCGTGCGCGTGCTGCCAACAGAAAGACCAGGATGAAGATGAAGGCTGCGCGCGGTGGCGGTCATCGTCGAGCTCGTCATGGCACTCGCTGCGGCTGCACCGACCGCGGCATGGCGGCGCGAGGGCAAGGTCGTCGCGGTGCGTCGCGGTGCGTCGCGGGCGCGCGCGGACGAGGGTGGTCCTCGCGTCTCACTGCGGCGGCGTCGCGGCGGCCGGGCGCTGCGCGGCGCCACAGGGCGACTCGTCGCCGTGGCGGTGGCGGGGGCGGCCTAGGCCGGCGGAGTGGCCGTCCCACGGCGTCCCGGTGCCGCTGGCGCCCTGCCATCCGCCGCCCCGCCGTGGCCCCGCCCCGCCGCCACTCGGCCTACACACCTGGCAGGGCGGTAGGCCCGGCGGCAGGACTAGGCAGGACCAGCAGCACGGCACGGCCGCCTTGCGCCGCCTCGCCAGGAATGCGCCTCGCCTCTTCCCACGGTGGGAAGACAGGATCAGCGCCTCGCAGAGCGTCGCAGAGCGTCGCAGCGCCAGCGTGTTTCGATAAGCCGTGGCGACAGGCCGGGTCAACGCCTGCTAGCCCCCTCCCGCTTCTTTTCTCGTCACGACAAAATAAGTCGCCGCGAATTCCTCGTACAGCAACTTACAGAAACTGCGTATTACGTTCGTTTTGTTAGGATGCAGATGCAACCAATATGAGACTCGCGGATAGCCCTTCCCCACGCGCAAGAAGCTCGGCAGCAGCTTCAGCAGCAGCTTCAGCAGCAGCTTCAGCAGCAGCTTCAGCAGCAGCTTCAGCAGCAGCTTCAGCAGCAGCTTCAGCAGCAGCTTCAGCAGCAGCTTCAGCAGCAGCTTCAGCAGCAGCTTCAGCAGCAGCTTCAGCAGCAGCTTCAGCAGCAGCTTCAGCAGCAGCTTCAGCAGCAGCTTCAGCAGCAGCTTCAGCAGCAGCTTCAGCAGCAGCTTCAGCAGCAGCTTCAGCAGCAGCTTCAGCAGCAGCTTCAGCAGCAGCTTCAGGAGCAGCTTCAGTGGCAGCTTCAGTAGCAGCTTCAGCAGCAGCTTCAGCTGGGATCGGGGCGACGACACCCTACCCTAGCGCCTCGCCGTCCTCGCCGGCCTCGCCTGGCTGCTGGGGCCGAACCTTGTTCTCGCCGAGTCGAGTCCCGCAGTCCCGCGGTCCCGCCCACGACAGGGCTTTGTTTGGATCGGGAGGATTCGCCTCACAGCGGCTCTCGCTCCGTTCGGCAGACGTGTTTACCACCCTCGCGACCGCGCGGCGCGCAGCGCCAAGCAAGCCAGCACACGCCACCAAAATCATTCGCCAATCAGCAGTCAGGGCTCGGCACAGAGGCCACACGCTCACACACGCGCATGCAAGAGCGGCTCCAGCAGGCCGATTACGAACAGAGCCCCTCTCCCTCTCTCTCGCACTCGTGGGGCGTGCCGTAGGGCCGCGGGGGTGCGAGGGAGACAGAGCGATGTTCGGAATGGGCTTGCCGGCGGGACACCAGCCAAACGGCGGCACGGCGGATAGGGCGAAGGAAGTGACACATTTTGGTAACTTGCGCGAAATAGGGCGAGCAGGGCGAAGAGGGCGAAGCGGGGCGGAGGAATGCGGAGGAGTTAGTGACGAGTGCGTGGCAGGGCCGACCAGGGGCCGACAGTACAGACGCTGCAGGCCGCCCAGTCGGTGGAGTCGCACAGATAAGCCATCCGGTAGAGGCACGGCGAGCACGGCGAGCACGGCCCGGCGTGGCGTGCAAGTGCCGCGTGCCGTCCAAGGGGCGGCTTCGCACTGTCCGGACCATCACTCGACAAAGCAAATCCAAGCCTGGACAGTTATTCGGCGAGCAACACACTCTGCACTCGCCACACAGACGGCGCGCTACCTGGCGGATGCACTGCATGACCACCTCGTCGGGCGCGGCGGGGAAGTCCTGCTTGAGGCGGTGGAACAGCTGCATGATGGCGATGTTGGAGCAGCCGCACGCCATTGCGGGCGCGCGCGTGTGCGTGCACGGCGTGCACGGGTGCGTGCGCGTGCCGGCCCATGGCCAGCCCGGCCAGCCCAGGGCGCGCGGCGCGGCACGGCACGGCACGCGGCCTAAAGGGCGCCGAGCCCTTGTCTAGTCCGAGTGCTCGCGGCCATGTTCTCCTACAGGGGCCCTACAGGGGCCCTACAGCCCTCAGCAGGCTGCCTCCCTCTCTGCCTGCGGCTCCAACGCGCCTCCAGTTGCCTCCAGCTGCCTTCAGCCCTCACGCTCGGACGCCTCGGCACACGCGCGGACGCTTACCCGAGCATGGCATTAGGGCGCCGGAGAAGCGCTGGACCGTCTGGACGTGGCGCACGGCGCGGCGAGGCACGGTGCGGCGAGACAGCAGCGGCGAGCCAGCCTGAGAACAGAAACACACCGTTTTGCAGTTCAAAGGACGTCAGAGCATCTCGGTATTGGACTTGTCCACCGGTTGCGCGGCGTGGTGGAGGTCGCCCCACACTCCTGCCCCCTTCCAGCAGATAAAGCCCCATGGGGCATCAGTGCACTGGTGCGGTGTCGTGTACAACAGTGTGCCGTCTATCAGGATATTTACCATTGTCGGCCCGCCAGAGCGCGAAGCGCAAAGTGGAAAGCAGGCGACGGGCCACGGTGTGGTGGAGTGGCGCCTTGGGAGGGGATGCCACCGCGACGCACCCGCACCCGCCGCGCAACATACCGTCGAGCCCAAGTCGACCGTGGCGGGGCGTGGCGGGGCGTGGCGGGGCGGGGGAGGTGGCGGCGACGTGATAGGGGCGTGGCGAGGCGTGGACGTCCCCAAGGGTGCCCAAGAGTTCCCAGGGGACTTGGAAAGTGGACGGGAAGGGGAGAAAGGGGGATAGGAGGGGAGAGGCGAAGACAGGTGGCTCGTGGGAGGCTGGCTGGCTGGCAAGACGCGGGGATAAAAATGACAGCAACGCTAAAGGGAATTTCGGTTGGGGTTCGGGCATGTCGGGCATGTTGGAGTGAAGTCAAACTCTAGGAGGCTGAAACCCCTATATTGCTGTCTTTACAGGTCAGGAATCAAGCTTTGCTCGTTTGATACACAGAGATATTCAAGCGTATCATATCTGCCTTTCGTGCCCCTGTTGTTGCTGTTTAGAAAGTTAAGGAGACGCAGTGCCTAATGTCCACTTTCCAACTATCAATCGGAAGGGCGGAGCAAAGATGAAATACATAGAAATACATGATAGAACCTCAAAAAGACCAAAGGAGGTCGCCTCCAAAACAAACAAATTAAAGTAGACTGAGCGACTTGTTATCAAGGCAATTACTGTAAGTACAGGCTCCAAGAGTCAGTGCACTGGCATTCGGATGCAGATGAAGTGCGAGTGAAGTGACTGGGAAACAGGAGTTTGTCGCAGCTTTGTTATTGTGGCATATTAAATCACTGAGAATGTTTGACAACCCGCTTATCTATTCAGGAGGTGATTATGTAAGTATTACGGTGCAAAAGGTACAAAAAAATCCCTCAGATAAATTATTGACACATTGGAACAGGCAAGACAGCTAACATAAGAACAGTACAGCTGATTTCTACCATCAATATCTTTATATAACTGATGATGAAATAAACACAACTAGGGACCGAATACAAGTCTGTATCGTTTAAATAGGAGATGTATAAAACATCAAATCTGTCACTAATGCAAACAATAAACATATGCATGCAATAACAATGGTTGATTACATGAAGTACTGCAAAAAGGGGAACAGTCCAATATATGTCAATATCAGTGGTGAGAATGGGGAATATGATAAATGATAGAACAGATTCAACAGGCTGTCATAACCAGGAAACTCTCGTGAAGTTTCAAGAGCGTCTAGACCTGCGATACCTGTGGCTGCCTTAGAAAGAATAACTGGTAAGGTGTCGTTTTTAAGCACACGCTGCTTAATGACGCTTTGAAGTTATTCCTCGAACTTACCGCAATAGCGCTGAGGGTATTATCACCATAGGGTGACAGCAGAATTTGCCCCAAGGCGAAAGTATCAATCAAACAGCACTTCAATAGAAAATTTCTAACTTCATTCACTTCACAACTTCACAAGGACGACGACGACGGACGACGCCATAACCCAGCTGACAACAGGTCAAGACCGTTCCAAATATTTGGCGCAAGGCAGTGATGGTGCGCTTAACACCCATACCGTTATTCGCCCTTTGGGCTTTTGTCTGCTGACAACAAAAGTGCACAGCTGATTACTTACCCAGCACGTAGCTTCACGCATTGCCCTCGGAAAATTGAATTTAGCTGACTCCTGATGTGATATCACACTTTAGGATTGTGATCATGCTCGACTTTAGATGACACGGGCAGCAGTGCCAGAGTGCTGACCCAATGTTGTCTCAATTTTACTTCTCTTGACTATGTTTGTTGTGAGTCACAACCTTTCTCAGACTCCCTTCTTTGTCAAGATATTTGAAGATGGGTAAAGCATATCTGCACCAATACTTTCAAAGTGTTGTCACAGCATCCTCTTTCCAAGCTCTTATTCAGCTAGTGTGAGAACCCAACTCTCGAGAAATGGCTGTCACTTACGCTGATCTTGTAGCTTTCGGATTTGCTTACGTTGAGGATAATGTATCAGCTAATGTCAAAAAACATAAACTTTCTGTTAAGAGGTCGCCTGTTCCTTTGCTAACTTCTGAGGTAAGCCATTCAACTGCTGGGTTGCCACGTAAAGGCTGTCTTCATTTTATGAGTCGGGTCGTTCAAGAAGTCATAGCATTGCTGCCATAAATAACATCCATTGACTAGAGTCTGCGCAAGTCATTTGCCTTCCAGTGCAGGAGGAATTTTAAATTTTCAGATGTCTACCTTTTTTCGTAATAATTTTTTTTTAATTTGCAGGACATGTGTTTGTGTGAGGAAGAAGATTTCATTATTTTTGCTGAATTCTCTGAAGTGAAAGGGCCAGTGGCACTTTTCACAGTACCATCATATGTTCAGCATGATGAAAAAATTGATATTAATAGTTTTATCATGAGAATTATGTCAGTTGACTACCAAGCAAATCCTGGGTAAGGGAGTTATGTAACAGTATTCCTCCGAGCAAATAAGTTTATACTCATTGAAATCATATGTTGATGTATTTTCTGCCCTTTTCCAGAGGCCAATTTTGCATCTGCCAAGATACACAAATTCTTCAGACATACGTTTCTCACAACCGCCATGCTTATGTGCACTATTTTACTTTGTATGACCTACACGCAAGAGGCTTTGTGCGTCCTCTCTGTGTTGCTTACGTAAGTTCAAACCATCAGAAACTCCACAGAATATTTCCCCAATTGAGGGAACACTTTTTAAAGGTACGTTCTTCACATATCTTCAATTCTATTTCAATGCTAATTATTTAATTGAAGAGCTTAACCAGTCTTCTTTTATAGGTAACAGAAGCTATTAAGGTGAACAATCGTCAACATTTTAGAAATGAAATAAAACCCTTACTTTTTAGTCTCAAAACTTGTAATAAGGATGAAGGTGTAACAGAGGTGAGAGATGTTTATTGCTTTTGTCCCTTTACTTTTACTTCCAATTATGCCTCTTCATAGTTTTCTTGCCTTATGTTGTAGGAATCTCAAGAGACAGATCTGTCGAATATTATTTCAAAGATGAACATCCAACCTGGGCAATGCTTGCATCAGTATGAAGATTTGAAATTTATGCTCACTGCTGTTGAATCTTCACTTGTAAGTTTTTATCATAATTTTTCATTCACCTATCTTATTTTAGATAGGGTTTCTATTATTTTTCTATGGCCATTGTAGGTGGGTGTGGAGTGTACTCTGGCTGCTCTAGACCATTGGTCTAATGCACTGACATACAAGGATTCTCCCAGCCCCAAAGAGCTGCAGGACTACCTGGCATTGATATCACCAGCTTCTTATTTAAAACACATGAACCTGAATGGGAGCAATTGTGTGGTAGAAAAAAAGCTTCGCCCTATTCCTGCCTTGTGCCCGTGGGGCTCTGCTTGTGCGTTGTCGTTATTATTGAGTGCACTTCAGAGCTTTGGTTCTTGTGACCTGAGTGCCTGTTTGGGTTATTTTCCATCGCTCTCATCAACACAGGTATGGGATTTATAGTGTCCTATCCCACTATAGTATCCTGCTACTTGTACTCTATGTTTTTTATCCTATTTTCTACATATTGATTGATTGATTGATTGGAATTTTTACTCTGTAGAGAAACACTACATCACAAAAGCAAGATGAACCCAATGCCTGGGAAGCTTTGATGAAATCGGAATTCCTCCAGCTCCTACAAGCATTATCTGTTGGTGCACTGGAGGCATCTACACCATCCTTGGATGAGCAGGAATGTTATCCTACAGAGGGATCCAGTTTCAAAGAAGTAAGCTGAGCCCCCCCCCCCAAAAAAAAAATAATAATAATAAAAAATGTGACTGTCAAAGTTTTTCTTGGTGTCAAACTCACCTTTTTGGGCTTTGTTCTTTCAGGGAGGAACCAGTGGCAATGAAGGGAGTAGCAGTTATCATTCCTTAAGTGATTCCAACTCTGATGCCAAAAACACAGTGAGGGGAGATTCGGTTCCCTCATCATTTCATGTATCTACTGATTTGTCCTTAGAAAGTACAGTTCAAAGGACTCAAGAAAGAGTGGGTTTTCAAGACAGCTTTCATACTGTAAATGATAATTCTTTTAGCCCATGTCAGCCTCCTGGAGGGGAGGACTTCCACTCCATAATTGGTAGCTGTTCATCCCCTCAGTGTTCTATTAACAATAATATCTCAGATGAAAATACTGACAATTCTGAAGTTCAGTACTCGAGTACCAGTAGCAGTAACGGCAGTGAGAGTTTTCATGATATTCTGGAGGCTCTTCACAGTGATGACAACTGGAGTCTGGGCAGTATAGATGAAACTTTACCTCTTGGTGTTCCATGGAATCAGTGCCTATGGACTCGACAGAAACCTATTACCAAGTCAGGTACTATAAGGATTTTTGGTCTCATACAATTTTGTAGCCTTTTAAGTGTTCTTTTACTTTTGAACTCTTAGTAATAATAATAATAATAATAATGCATGTGCACTTTTAGGTCACCGGCTGCTTAAATTCTTTTGGACATACAGATCAGCTGCACAACATATTATTTATTCCCTCCTGATGGGCAGAACCCTTGTTCTGACAGGGGATGCATCATCTGAACGCCGGGTTCAACGAGTTATGAGTGCATTGAGTCCTTTGATACCTCCCTTGGATAGTAATGGACTCCGCGTGTTGAGGTATCTTACTGCTGGTCTGATGTGAAGGACTGTGCCCTTAAATATTCATGTATACTGTCTGCGAGTTGTTTGCTTACATAATTTCCAATTTTTAGGTGGCATCAAGGGATTCTAGTCAGTGCCCACATAGCTAGCTATCAACTCATTGGCATGTGCATTCCAGAAAGACTGTCTATACATGATATGATAAGTCCTAGGGACAAAGTAAGCATTATTTTCAACCTAATGGGAACTGTTGGTTTCATTTGAACTATTTTGTTATTATCATGTCTTAATTTACAGAATAGTGTTACAATCTTGGATGTGAATACAGAACAATTACTTGGTCCAGCATACCATGGGCATTTACTGGCTCCCATTGGAAATAATGTTCGAGATTTTCCAAGTGATCACAGTTTACTACTCTACATGCAGAGCGTACTTAGTGGTATTGGACGCAAACTTCAGGCATACAAAGCTTTAGTAAGCACATTTTATTATCATGTTCATTTCAAGTATTTGCAATTTTTTTAATGGTTCTTTTAAAATTCTTTTAAACAGATGGCAGCATGCAATAATGAACTTCCAAGCCATGCTTGTCGGCAGTTGGATGTTCAGGGATGTGATGCTGATATAATACGTTACCTCAGCAAGATTTCCTTTTAAGTTCCTGCATTCTAATAATGTAATTTATTCATGTATTTTTATAAAGCCAGACATGTTTTTCATTCTGACAAATGTGAAAGAATGGTGACTCCATTTTGGTGTTTGATTCTGTGATCTGCTTCTGTGTTAATGTTTTCTTGCTCACATTTGTAAACAAATATTTTACCATGGTGACACTGAAGCTTTCAGCTCTTTTAACAACCCTTAAATAATGTACTAGAAATTATTTTTTACTTATATTGATGACAATAATCTTTATGACCAGTTGTTAATGTACTTACTAAGTGACTTGTACCTTTCAGTACAGAACTCACATGTATTTTCCTTGCTAGATAATATTTGATGTGTCACTTTAATGTGAAAGACCTTTTAATTGTCTTTAGTTGTAAGAACTCAATTGAACTTTACAAGTATTATTTTTTAGTGTAAGACGCTCGCAGCCAAAATGTTTCAGATAACATCACATGTCCTGTATAGAACTTTTTTAAATAAATAACAAACTGTATTTTGAGTAATTGTGTTTATTGATATAAATGAACAAACAGTTTGAGAAAAGTTAGACGAGTGCCTTCTTTAAGAAAGTACCACAGTATCCGCATTAAAAGAATTCGGTGGATACAAAGTCAAGCTGTTGGATTCAATGTGCTTATATACAATTTAGAAACTTATCATACAATATAGAATTTAAGTTAACAAATGTTTGCTAGATCACAGCCTTTCTCCCATTCTGTTTGCCACATTGCGAAGCTGTCCATACACTTTGGAGGGAGGACTGCCTAAAATTAAATTACAAACAGCCCTCATCGCAACTTGAATATTTTGATAAGAACCTAAAATGTGAATCTTTGAATCAGCTAGAACAATTCGGGTTTTTGTTATGTTCTCGATAGTGAACTTTGTACGTCCGCCCTTCCCAGCTAGTCGCCCAATAGCTCTTGAGAGATGGTCCCCATTCAGGGTCTTGACATCCTTGACTTCGAAACTTTCAACAAATAAGTTATCCAATCGAAGAAGTGCCAGGGCGTCTTCCACGTCAAAACCGTACACAAACGCTTTCACAAAGTCCGCAGCTTTCTGCAGGTTAGAAACGTCAGGAGTTTGATCGGAGGGTCGTATCTCCACATTGCGGGTCTTGAGGTTGAAGCGCACCTGGAGCTGTAGATTCTCCACGATCGGAGTAAAGATTTTGAGCCAATTTTCCTTTAGAGGAGTATATCTGTGAGACGGGACGGGGACCTTGCGGACGTCGACCGCCGTGCGCTGCCTCTTGGATCCGGGGAGGTTATTCGCCTTGGCACCAGCAATGCCTCTGTATTCCACTTCCATTGCACTGTCACCCGCAGAGGCGGCGCGTTTCCTCGACATCTTCTTGGGTTGCACAAAACTTTCTTCCTTTTCTGCGTTCATGTTTTCCTTAGAGAACTACTATGCACGTGGGTCAGGGAGCAGAAAGTCATAACAAACAAATGCAACCCGCGACTGGCGCCCCCCCTCCCTCCAGACAAAAGAGGAGCGAGTTCTGTCGACGCGGGGCGGGGCGCGCTGTTCGAGATTAAAGGAAAGTGGGATGAGAGAATTCTGAAAGGCGAAGGAGAGAAAAGTAGCCATGAGTGAGAGGTGGTCTAATTTATTTATTTTTGTAATAAGTACAACAAAAATATATATACAAAACAATATTATGAAGTTTAAGATTCAAAATTTATTACACCACAGAGGAAAATGTAATAGCCCACCCTACTGCTCTGAGAAAGCAGAACAAAGTGACAAGATGCAAATAAAATAAATGCTGGATTGACCTTAATTTCTGTACTTTGAAGAGGGTGCCAAGTATTTAAACAAAAAAAAAGTAAAGCCAAGAGTACAGTCAAATCCATGCACTTGAATAGGCATGTGTCAAAGACAGTCTGAAAAGTACTTTGGAAGTGAATGACTGCATTCCGGATTCATTTAAGACACATAAGAGCACAGGCCAACCGCTCAGTACACATATTCAGGGACTGAGCTTTAAAGGAATCCCTCCTTGTCCTCAAAAGCAGAGAACAACTTCTATGGAGAACTATGTCACTTCCCCAAAAGTTTCAGTTTGTGAGTTTGCTCCATTTTGACCACAATGAACCTAGGACACAGACTACTTATTACAACTTGACAATGAAAAGACCTGAGCAAAACAAGCATTGCATTAGTGAGGGTTATAACAGAGGCTGTTTCTAACAAAAATGAATACTTTACTTCAAAGTCATAATTAAAAAAATAAAATTAGTAAACATAGCCCGACACAATCAGCAAATTCTTATCACTATCATTGTGAGAAATATATCATATCTCTCAATTAATTAATTAATTATCAACCATACCAGAAGTAGGCGCCAACATACAAAATTTGACAAGCCTCTTAAATTTTAGTAAAAGTAACTTTGAAGACCTGTGTGGTTTCTTTTCTTTGCAATCAAAACAGATGGTAATAAAGTGTGTTGGATGACATATTGCCGCTCATTTCATTAAGTATGGATACAACATTGCCTTGGTCTTCTATAAACCTTCTCCAAGTCTTTGGTATTAAAAGCGTTTTGAAACTAAAAATTACAAAAGACAAGAATGAAACAAATCCGTAAACTACAGTAGAACAAAAAAAATCACTGGGTAGGACTTGCAAAAAGGTTGATATGTGAACATTGTCAAAAACCAGGCAGAGTATTATTAATAACTAAGTGAGCTCAGACGTTTCAGAAGCAAAGAGAACATTAGATTTAGCAATTGGTACACAATTAGTTAAGCATAGACACACAGATCATGAGGTAGAGATTATAACCTGTTTATGACAAATTTCCAAGCAAAGTAAACATGATAAATGATAATGGCAGGCTGTCTAAAATGAGCACAAACAAATCAACAAATTAGAAAGTTACCTGTGGATTGACCTCAATTACTTGAGGCACAGACTATAAACCCTCATATTCATAAAACCAAGTGAGTTAGTCACAGCCACTGAGGGCAATGGACAATGGAAATTCAACTTTGGCAGTCATAATAAGCCACTGAGCAATGAGATCACATTAATAAAAGGTGTGTTACACAACAAGAGCTTGTAAATCTACAGCATGCCTTGTGCCAAAGCCCATCAGCACATTTTCTACTTTCCGAGAGCTTGTCAGTAATTAATCTGAATTTGCGGTTTTCAGAATACATAAAAGGTAAAAACAATCGATAAAAATAAAAACACAACAGGGAACTTTTCATTGCTCACCAAAACCCAGACATAGCAACAACAGCAAAGCATCTCCCCAAATGAGGTGTTCTCCCAAAAATATTACATATCTAACATTAACGGGACAGTTCAATTCAGTGGTGAGGAAATCCCACCATTCACAGCAAAAACATGGTGAAACTCTACCCGGGTTTAGTTGTAGATTATGATAATGATAAGTAAGTTTCCATGTTCTTCATTCCACAGAGAAATGGGGCAAAGATCAATTCAAAACAACAAGTCAATATCCAACACCATAATACTGAAAAGAAAATGAAGTTTAACACCTAATTTTCACCTGAATAATGTAAGTGACTTCAGAATATTTTAATCATGCAATGCACAAACTTGTACACACACATAATACTGGCATACAGCATAGTATGAATTGTTTCAGGTACATTAGCCCAAATTGCATTCAACTGGAAAACAGAACTACTTTTCCTGGTATTCATGACAGCAGGTTGCTACAGCAGAACTCATTAAAAATGTGCAATTATTGAACAGTCAGAAATTGAAAAGCGTCAATAGAAATGCGAGAGCAATAAGATACAGAGATTCCATTCTACAACAGCAGTAAAGATGGGGCTAGAGAACCTCAGTCTTGTGTAGATAAGCAGTTCTCTTCCTATGTATTGAGGAAATATTAATATCTAACTCCAACCATTAACTCCAATCATTAATATTTTCTTTCACAATTAGCAAATGAGTACTTGAAAAAATTATATTTGGTCTTCTTGCTGCTTAACACTTTAAATTATGTGAAGAGGAAATTGGCCTAGTACACTAACATCAAAAATTGAAACAAGTGAGAAAAATAGATATATATGTATATATAAATGTTTATATATATAAATATGTAATTTGGCAATGGACACTATAGGATACTTTCTCGCACATATGGGAGTGAAGAAAAAAAAACAGGATGTTGCAATTATAAATTGATAACATTTAAAAACGGTGAGATACAAAGCACTTTGCTGCTTTGAACATTCTCTACATTCTAAGAATCTATCCCTTTGAGAAAAATTTCGGCCACCCTGAAAATGGTCCTACAGTGAAATGCTACTCCCAGGCTCCACAAAACGTGGGAAATTACAAAACAATACTCTATCATATGACCAAAGAATCTCAAGAGGGGGAGAAAGAAAGAAAATGAGGGACGGGAGAGGAGAGAAAGAGCATGAGAAGGCCGGGGTACACCTTATTAAAATTTGATGATGCATTATTTCTCTCTTCATGATGGCACAGTAAACTAGCAATTTTTCTTGTTTTAGTTAAGCTTTCACTCACACATTCATTAGAAAGTCCCCACAGTCCAGTACTATTATCACATTAGACCACACTTCAATACACAATTCAGTACATACAGCTCAGTCAATAAACAGAAGACGACCTTCAAAGATACAGAAAAAACAGCTGTATATAACTAGATGTGAAATCAAGTGCCCTGCAATTTATTGCTGACACCAACAATTGGCCAAAGCATGTTGTAAGATGCTATAATCAGTCAGTAAAGGAGCGTTTGAGATCGTGCTCATAGTTTGCAATTAAAAGCATGATTCCAATGCCAGTCATGAGTCCCACCAGCTGCAGCAAACATTGACACACAGATCCACCTTCCATCGTATGACTTGTTGACAATTCAGGAATCTGAAACAAAGTGATATTATAAGCTCAATCTTAAACTATTTATTGAATTGTAGATAAGGCATGTATGATAGTCCACACTGCACAACCCTACCATGTCAACCAATGCAATGTACAGGAACATTCCAGCTGCTCCTGCAAAAATCCATTGTGAGGCTGTTTCAGTGTTGCCTAAAAATATGCCAAGGCACATTCCAAAAAAGCACAGAACTGAAGACAAGAGGTTGTAAAAGACAGCTTGTTTTGCACTCATGCCTGCCTTTAACAATACAGCAAAATCTCCTGAAATAAATTGAAACAACAATCTTTAACATTCTATCCTTTTCAAATTAAGAATACTGAACAGACATCTACGTTTCTGCATACCTAGCTCATGAGGGAGTTCATGACAAAAAACTGCGACTGCTGTGCTAAAGCCTCCAGCGATGTTGGCAGCAAATGCTGCTCCAATCGCCATTCCATCCGTGAAGTTGTGCAAACCATCACCCATGATCACCATCCATGCTACACTGGAAAGATTGTTGGGGGCAGAGTGTACATGGCCATGGGTGTGAGAATGGCCGTGGTGATGGTTTTTGTGTTCCCTACAGTAAAGAATGGGTGTGTTAAGTCGCAAGGATTTGTCATTCAAATAAAAATCAATCAATCAATATTGAAGTACAGTACTCACCTAATGATTATGGTGTAGTCTTTGTCACTGGGTCTCAGTTCCTTAATTTCACTTTCTAAGTCATGGCCACCTGATGCACTAGTAACACCCTGAAAGCAGCAAACAAGAGAGGAAAGCTCTTACATGCCATAGATAGTAAATTATGGAAACTGTTTTGTTAGCTCTCAAGAAAAAGGGGAAAGCATTACCGCATCTCGGTCATTAGTGAGAGCTGGTGTTGAAGTAAGGTCTTCTTGTGCACTGTTCAACTGTAAAGATGATGGTCCACCATTTTTGTGCAAGCTGCCATCTGAATCAAAGCACCCTCCATTAGTATGTAAGAAGTTAGAATCAGGGGAGGAGGGGAATGCATTTTATCTCAGTCACATTGAAATTGTTAAGAAAAATGTCATGGTTGAAAAGCATAATTCCAAGAGCAAACACACTGTGCTTCTCTGTCTCTCCCTCTCTATCATTCACCTGCAAGAGTTTCTTCTTTAGTGATATCTCCATAGCAATAAGGATATGAGCTATATTTATGTTTGCACAACTTTTCTCCAACAGTATTGTTGTCAACATCCTCCGTGTCCCGCATCACTCTCACTCTGGGGGCAGCAGTCTGCAGAAAAATATTCCATCAAAGCACTTGAAACATAATTTTTTGCCAAAATGAAAATAATAGATAAGATGCAAGAAACTGACTCTGCTCTTCCTCTGATGTCTTTTTCTCCACTCAGCACAGAGCGTGAGGCATTTTTCTGTAAAGAAGAAAAACACAACGCCCAAGGAGGCAACAAGACCTTTCCACATGTTATCAGAATGAGGGTCATGATCATGGCCATGACTGTGTGAGTGAGAATGGGAATCTTCAGCACCTGATGACATAGCCTGCAAAGGAAAAACCACACAGTTAGATCTTGAAATGAACCTCCCAGAAAATTTATTAAAATGCGAAACATACATGTGGTAAGAGATGTAAAAGTGCGTCACCACACAGGGTGCCAACAGCCAATGCAACCAAGAACTGAAGGAGCTGCTGGTAATAAGCTTTCTGCATTACAGGGATGACTGCAACGCCTAGCAGTCCACACAAGCTGATAACAATGATACTAAGAGTGGCGTAAAGCCACACTGAAACAGTTTTGACGGTTTCAACTGGAAGCTCAGATGCATGTGCAGACCATGTCACAGTTCTGTTTGGATCCATTTCACTCCGCAAGAGGCAATTTGTAGGTTCCACTATCTTATATAGTAGCAATGGACATAACTGTGCATATTTCACTGCATCAATAGCAGATTCATTGAATAAATTTGAAGTTCCATGAGAAGCTCCGACAAGATTCTCAATTTGAACACACTGAAAAAAATAAAAATAAAATAAAGGATGCATAAAAAAAAACTTTAAAATCCAAATAATGGTGAGAGCAATTCAATTCAATTACCCTAGAAGCTTCTTCATTGTTTGAAGAATTGTTTATTTTTAATTTGTCTGCAATTGAAGATGAATCAAAGTACAATTTTAGACAAGTACTCTATGCTAATCATACATCAATTTACAAAACATGCTTACCATCTGTTTTATTAAATAATTGATCCAGCTTGAGAGCTTTCATTAGTTCCCCAAATCCAGTCACAGTAAGAGATTCTCCGTCTCCATATTTCATAAACATCTTCTTAATAAAAACCTGAGATCAGAGTAATTGTGTAATAACTAACATAAACATAAAATCCAATAATTGAAGAGAGTAAAAAAAAAGTTATATTAACCGATTTTACCTGATTCTCCAAATCCACTTCATGATGCCGCTCTCTCCTTTCAGGATCATTGTGAACGTGCACAGTCCCTTTGGAGCCCATGTTGAGCGGGGATTGGCTGGCCACATCTTGTTGATGAGCAGAGCATGGTGCATGGGTAGCACACAGAATGCAGACTAGACACACTGTGACAAGGTGCTGCTTCATCTTCACTGATCAACAGGACTTGGCATTCCCATCGAAATCTGAAACAGAACAAAACTGAAATTTAAGGCAAGCTTGCCTGATGAAGAGAATACCTCTAAACTTCAGTTGCCAACATAGGCCATAGGGCTGTTTCACAGATGAATGGGAAACGCTCTTAAACATTCAAAAGAGTGAAAACTATTCGTCTAGTGAGAGCCTAAAATGGAATGATTGAGTCATACAAAATGAAAGTGATGCCTAAATTGGGAAGCCATTGGGCAAGCCAACACAGAGCAACAACAATGTTGCAGGATTAAAGCAGCATATCAAAGTTAGATGAAGAGGAACACAAAGGGATCGACGACAAAAGGTACGCGTGAAAGACTAGAAATAAAGAATCACTGTCCTACTTGGTCACAAAGTGGGTTATACTACACTGGATTAAAGGACGACGTCATAGTAAGTACAGAAAAACTGATCGGTGGCACCACAAATATTACGACAGATCATTTAGGTTTCCAAGCAATACAGGACATACCGCGCCCAGGCAAATTTTGTTGACAATGTGGTGCCTCTACTAACACCTAACCTACATGGAAAGCTTGCACTAGCATAAGGCCCAGCTGCAGGGCCCCTATCGTTCAATGCTTAACAGACAGGCTTTTGAAAACGATCGTAAGAGAAAACAAATACAAAGTCATGCGGAAGTCTCCACGCAATTGATAAGACATTCAGTCCCCACAACACACCTTGCACAGACGCAGCGTGCCGGAGCAACAAACGACTTTGGCTCCTTCTTTCCTGCCTTCGGTTTCGCCTTCGGCTTTCGGTGCAGGTACACTGCTGGCTCCGCCCGCGCAAGCGCCCGCGCACGCGCACTCGGGTGTGACGTCACACGGGAGAGCAGTACCTCGAAATAAGCGCCACGCGCCTCAAATCCAACTACAGCCGGGACTGACCAGTCTCATTCATTGACAAGTCTGGTTGATCAAGGCTAGAGATTTAATTTTATTGCATCGGGTGAGGGACAGCTGATGTCCCGTTAACTGCGGCCCTTCCTTCAAACAAACGCATTACGCATTGAAGAAAAAAAGGAAGGGGAGAGGTCGAGATACACACCGCAATGCTCTGCAGCATCGGGATGACAATATCTTGTTAATTGATCTAATTAGATCAATCGTGAAGGGGAATTCTAGAGAGGCGCTCAACGAGTTGATTGGAGAGCGATTTTCTTGTTCGTCTTGTGGGTGTGGAGGAGCGGGTTTACTTCCAGCGAGAAGACACGCTGCAGAATATTTGTATTTTGCCTTTCGGCGGGTAACTTAACTATAAGAATGTGATGTGAAATTATGCATTTGACAAAAATGAAAGGCCAAGTGCATTTACGTTGCAAATAATGTGCCAGGCGCGTCAGGCTGCCCAAGTTGCACTTGAGGGAGGAAGAACCCCACCTTCTTGTCACAGGTGGCATTCTTCACAGTACCGAGACCATTTGGTTTTAAGTATAAATTAATTGTAAATGAAGTAAATATGTTAAGCAATGAGCGACGAAGTGAAATACCGACGAATGCCAGGCTTCGCCACATAATTTTCTTCTGCAAACAGGGACATAAATAGTCCCTGAACTCCTGTGAGGCAAGGACATGAACACATTTCAACTCTAAGATTTCACAGGATTGTTAATATTTATTTGCATAGTAAAAAAATAGTAATTGCTACCCGGTATTTCATTTAGATTTACACAACAGTTCTTTTTAGTGTGTATGCAGTAACAAATAAGTGAGAAGTGGTTGACAAATACAACTAAGCACCGTTTCATCAGATACTTTATTTGCACTGTGATTATTGGGCACATTTTGCAAAGAGTTTTACTAGAAATTCACTCAATGCTTATTGATAGGAAAAGAGATGTAAAGAAGACTCGAGCCAACAGTACAATAGCATTTTACAGTTATAGCATAGTGGCCTCTGTAAACGGTGTTAGCAAATTTCAACATGAAACTATTTGAAATTGTAAGTTTCATTCAGTCCCAATTTCGCGCAACTGTTTATACAGTAGTAGAAAAAATAAACAGAAGAATCCCTAAACCTCAATTATTTACACATTTTAATGAAAGCCCCAAGGCTGCAACAAGATTTTAATCTGAGAAGAAAAAAAACTTAACGGAGCTCAATTGAAGCATAGCAGACTGTGACACGAGTTCATTAGAATTTGATGAAAGCATTAAAAGATTTAGCACAATAAGGGGCCCTGGAAAACAAATGATGTGACAGTGCATTCAACACATGAGTATTCAAGCCATCATAGCACTATACCAAAATAATTGCAACTATGTAGGCAGTGTTTCCTCAGGTCCCTACAAAAATATGGAAAAACAATCACACAAATTGTTGTATAACAGTAGTCATGAAATAAAAAAGTTGCTAATGGAATTCCTCCAACACTTCTATGCATGACAAGAATGGCTTGTATCAGTAGTTGATGACAGTGTGTGCTGAAAGATCCCATAACTGTAGTTACTATTATCAATTATCAAATAGAAACATAACACTCGATTCATAAAAACTATAGCCCATCCAACCAAACAGTCTCTTCCCAGGCATCAAAACGTTAATATGTACAAACTGTTAACAAGCAATAACTGTCTTCTAAATCAACACAAGTGTTCCACACAGCATTTGAAAACAACTATCCATTACGACCAAACTACATTATTTGTGGATAGATTGGTCAAGAACATGATTTCAGTTAGGATGATTTGAACAGAACTTCTCAAAAATAAAATAAATGAGAACATGCAGACTATTTGGCCAACTTTTAATAATAACAGACAATACCTGACAAAAACAAGAATTGAAGAAACACGAACCATTAAGACCATAACCTTGATGGAAAATGAGTAACTCGACAAGAAATGCAGCTATAGCTGAAGGCGCAATAGGAAAAAACGAAAGAAGGCAAATACGAAACCAGAGAATGTTACAAACAATAAATGCAATAAACCTTGTCCCAAAGCAAATAGAAGGTAGCAGTACTATAATGTATTGGATGACAGCCTTATTAACATAAATAATGCCTTCCTTTAAATCCCCTGTGCAGCCATTAAGCAGAATTTTCTTTGAATGTTATTGTCAATTTCCAGAAAGCTTAAGGGAGAGGTTGAAAAAGAGCTCAGTAACACAACAAACATTCTCAGAATTCAACAAGGGTATACAAAGCAGTATGCAGATTCACACTTCAAGACACACTGCCAGAATTCTATTAATCTGCTCACATTTATTCAATCACAGTGTATGAGTCTTGGTTAAAAGGTGCACTGAGCTCAGACAAGAGCTTAAGTGCACATACACACTTATTCATTCATTCATTCATTCATTCATTTATTCACACATTCATCAAACTATCAACTGTTCAAGAAATATTAGAAAATAATTCATCCCATGAGAGCCTCAAGACACAAAGGCACAGGTGATGCTCAAAACTAGCCTTCAGCACAAGATGCAAACCTCAAGTCCACTGAAGAGGCCAAATATGCATGTTTCAACTGGCTTTATGACCAACAACCCATTACAAATTTTAGGCACATTTGGTAATTTTGAACAGCATTGTAAAATGATGTCTTCCTGTAGTTGCTGAAGATCACATTCAATACAGCCGGTCCTGGCTGAGGTCGAATGTTTAGGCGTTTATCAAAGACTTGGTAATTATAATTGCACAGATCAACAACACTCAGGAGTTTGAACCATTGTAGAATAATGTTTTAATGTTCATCTGATTGGTTTGATGAATGCACTTCAACTAGCTCAAAATGGGAAACGCAGCTGTCAACTCTGGTCTATGCTTCGTCACACAGCAGTGCTTATTCGATAACCTTCAGCACCTTACCAATTGCAATTGTTTTACCTGGATGAGACAAAGAGTATAAGGTAAAAGATCAACCAAAATGAAGAAAACCTCATCAAAAATAGGAGATTGAGAATTACCTTCATCTCTAAGAGTAAATCGGCCCATTTGAGGGAACAATTTAAACCGTTCTAGACAAATGATTCCTGCACACTCTATCCTCATAATTGCAACTTGATCTTGTTTCACAAATCGAGGCCTAGTCTTTGACTTGTCTCCAGTTTTCTTGTCCACAAGACAGATCAAAGCCTGCACTCATAAAAGCATGGTTAAAAGCCCGATCACTTAAAAGAAATAATAATAATAATAATAATAATAATAAAGTGTTTAAAATATACCTTCACAGTTACTTCTTCAGCAACACAATGGATATGCATTACTGCTGAATATCCGGCACAAATGATACTTTTATGCTCCAATATCACAACTTGTGCATCGAACATACGTCCAGTTTTGATGGGATTTGATGGATCACATAACACAAAACCAGGAGAAACGTCTTCTTCCTCAATACCCTTTACCTTGATTTTTACATTCTCTCCTGGTCCAATAGAAGTTACTTCATCGTCATCAGACCATAACTGGTCGACAATTACTGAGGTCTGTGCAGGGAGGAGGAAATTGAAATTACACTAAACTACTATACATACTATTATGATGATAATTTTAACTTAACACCCCAGATAACTTACCCTATTAGGCATAATTATAAGTGACATTCCTTTCTTACATTCACCCGATTCTACTTTGCCCATAACAACAGTTCCCATATCCTTGTATTTGTCCACAACAGGTAGAATGAAAGGTCCATCAGTCTTGCGGTTCAATGAGGGCAAATTATCAATAAACGGAATAAATGCAGACCCAGAGTACCATGGGCATATTTCTTGAGGAACGGATTCTTTCAGTCCAAGTCCAGTAAGGCCAGAAACAGGCATGAATGTGAGATCCTTAGCTGGATTGAAACCTAATTTTTTCAGATATGGCAGGATCTTATCTCTACATTCATTATAGCGTTCTTCAGCCCAAAGAACCTAGTAAGACATAAAATCAGTTAAATGACGAAATATAGCACAAATCTAAAGTATGCTCAAACCTGTAGAATTTAATCACATTGTCTTAACACAGAAACAAATATAGAAGACTACCTACCGTGGGATCATCCATTTTATTTATTAGCACTACCAGATGTTTCACGCCGGCAGTTTTGGCCAACATGGCATGTTCCCTAGTTTGGCCACCTCTGTCAAAGCCAGTCTCGAACTCTCCTTTTCTTGCAGAAATTACCTAAATAAGATAAAGGGTGAGATAATTACAAGGCAAGTCTTGTTGCATATTCACAGCTTACGTGCATGCACTGCCGCACTTTATGTAACATGACAAACACAAAGATTATACTCACTAAAACAGCAAGGTCAGCTTGAGCAGCTCCACCAATCATGTTTGGCACAAAGCTCTTGTGTCCAGGGGCATCCAAAATTGTGAAATGTTTTTTCTCAGTCTCAAAATATGCTCGTCCAACCTCAACTGTTTTACCTTTGTCTCTTTCTGCAAATTTTAATTTAAAACGCAACATTAAAAAATAAGCTTTTTTGTTCAGTCTCATGCAAATAAGTCTAAGATACAAGAGAAATGATTATTCATTGAACTTGCCTTCTTGGTTTGTGTCAAGTGCCCATGACAGATACCATGATTCTCTACTTTTCTCTCTGGCTTCTCTCTCATACTTCTCTAGTGTTCTCTTGTCTACCATCCCCGTTAAAGACATGATTTGACCACCAATTGTTGACTTGCCAGCATCTGTAATGTCACAAGATCAATTAAAGGATGTTAAAAATGGCACACAAGACAAATTTGGTTCATGAAATGATAATTATTAACTTTGGACCAAGAAATTCTTACCAACGTGACCAATGAAGACAACATTAACATGCTCCCTTTTACTCTTGGTTTCTTCGGCCTGAACAAGCTTCTTTTTGGGTTTGATAATCGCTTCATTGACAACATCATCGCCTTCATCACCTTCATCACCATCAGGGTCATCAGGGGTGAGGAGAGGGTCCACATCACCATCCGCTGTTTCCCAGTCTGCTGGAGGGTTATCTTCCATTTTTCTCACAGCTTCTTCTTGATCTGGAACGGTTTGCCCTTCAATAAATACAAATTTAGATTAATGTTACCATTACAACGGCACCCCTGACAGATAATGGCATTCTAAGTTTGATAAACACAAATATAAAGCTGATAAAAGACACGGTGTGGGATTTAGCACAATAGTGATACTAAGAATGAATGCCAGAACTGCAGTTCACCTGAACACCATGTTCTTGCAAGTGGGGAACTAAGATAAACGCACAAAAAAAAGCATTGAAACGAGGGACAAAATCAATATATAAGGGAATAAAGGAGTTGAAATGGTAAGCACATGAACTGAACTGACACCAGAACATCTAGATGGTGTTCAAGGTGTGTCCATAAGTCATTTTCATGTGTCAGAGGTACCCCCAAGACAGAATGAGAGGTAATGCACACAAATTACAAGACAATTTCACGAAAAGCGCACAATAACCGGCATTGTGTAACGCAGAAAATGTGGGAATAGGAGAAACCGGCTAGCGCTAACGCATTGCCAACACTTTGGAGAGGTGACCGTCCCGTTCACTGCAAAGGAGAATGGCCGAGAGGGCAACTTAACCCTACTCTTCTCACCGTTGGTTAAGGGTGCAGAATCCTCGGGCGCAGCTGAGTCACTAGGCGAATCTTTATCGTCACTTGAATTTACTTTCATACCAAATGAAGGAACAAATTCCATTGCATTCACATTCAACGTGGAAAACTTGGTCGACATATCGTTGCTAGCGGCTGCGCTCCCTGCATCGGCATCTGCTTGTTGTTCCCAAGAGTCGGGAGCGCCTACGTTTGCCATTTTTAGTTAAATCTAATACGGCAGAGAAAAACTGCCTCTAATCATTAAACAAGGAGGGTGTTTGCTCCGAAATAAATCCGTGTTCCGATTTTGGGCCGGAAGTCTGACGGCAACACGGCACACGTTTAGGCGTGCACGAACACCGAACACGGGGCACGTTGGACCGCGTTGGACTCACACTGGATCAGACTGGCTACTGGCGACTGTCTCTCTCTTACAGTCTGTCCTTCTCACTCACTCTGCCTCTCTTCCTATCTATTGTCTCTGTCGCTCTCTTCTGTTTCTAAACGCAACTCTCGCTCTCTCTTTGGTGCGTTGTCCTCTCTGCCTATCTCTATCCACCTTGTGCTTTCCCCTCTTTTATTCGGATTCTTTCTCTGTCTACCGCGGAATGTATCATGCTTCCTTGCACACCACGTCAAAAAAAGAAAATTGAAATGAATGGCGCGATAAGGAGTTTTGGAGATTGGCAAGCTGTTTTTCCTCAAGTTCGATACTTTAAATAAAACCGTGAAATTGAATCCATTATTTTATTAACTGTCATGAAATATAATCATTCCTTTCCACCCATGGAGGTTATTCAGGAAGGGGAGCCAGAGCGAGACCGGCCCGGGCCGGCGACAAATTTTCTGCAGCATAACATTATTGCACAATGTCAAGAAGTTGGAAAAGTGGGATTGATGATAATGAAAATGCAGCATTCCATCATATGTGTAAAAAATATTCTATTGATAGATTCATATATAAATGTAAATTATAAAATTGATTAATTTATTATCACATTGGTTTGGAGAAAGAGTTGGCTATGGTACATCTTTCTCTTTCGTTACTCCTAGCAGTGATAAGAGTTAAAATACACAACTTATATTTTTTCTGATATCTTCAACTCTTCTCTGGTCATATGACCATTATGATGATGGACCCGATACCGAACAAGATCTTTCCGAGTAACCATTCCAACAACCTGTAGAACAGAAAAAGCAAGATTTTCAAAGTAAGTTTCTAGTAGAATTAATTTGAATATGTTCAATATGCCAGAGTTCACTAACCTGGTTTGTATCATCAATTACTGGTAAATGCCGAAGACCCAATGCCCTAAAAATCCTGAAGACTCTTGGTAGTGTCATAGACTGAAAAGAAAAGCAACCATAAAATTGGAAATTTTAAAAAAATGATGGGGGAAACTGAAAAATATGCACTCACATGTATGACAGTGTAAGGGGACGAGTTCATGAATGGTCTCAAGTCCACAGTGCAGCGCATTTCTGCAGAAGAAAGACTTATATCCTGGAAGTATTATACAAACAAACTGAGTACATGATATCCTTAGAAAATATGTGACTGATGTACCGATTAGATTACCTGTATGTGCGGGTATCTGGGATACTCATTGCGAAATAGTTTTAATGCCACTTCAAGATTTTTTGAATCCCACAGATCCATCCGTTCATTGAATATTTTATTTTGAAGAAGAACAATTAATTGATGTCTAAGAATAAGACCCCTGAGTTTTCCAAAGGAAATCTTCTCACTCTACAAGTTTTAAAAAATAATTAATAGAAAATGCATTACTAGGATCAAAATTTTATAACTCTGGACAGGGGTTCATGTTACCTGTAGTTCATGGCCTGGGTCAACAACAGGGAAACCATTATGAGTCTCAGCAGTCAGTATCTGAACTATTCTTGCAACTCTTTCTGTGGTGCGCAGGACAACCACTGGATGGCTCATAATTTCACTAGCATAAATGTCATGGGACAAAGGAGGAGGATCCCATGATAACAAAGGGACTCCAGCAAGCATAATGTGAATGTCATAAATACCCTAACATTGTTAAAGCAACATTACATCAGTGAACTTTCAAAATTTCAAAGGGTACATACAGAATTTGGTTTCCTTACCTCATTGAAAAAATCACCCATCCACTTGGCGCAAATTAAAGTGAGCATGAGAGGGAGGCCAAATGCAATGTTGCCAGTTGCCTCAATCAAAATAACAGTAAGGCTGATGGTCATCCTAACAACACCACCTAACTGAGCTGCTGCTCCAATCAAAGCGTACTTTCTGAGGTCAATCCAACTCTTTCAAAAATGAAAGACACTTGTAAGTAAAACTATAAACCAACAAAAAAGATTTTTTTTTTTAAATGCCAACCTGGTTTGGAAAAAGCCACATAAGGCCCATGCCAGTCAGTCGCCCCCAAGCAGCTCCAGTTAACAAAGATGGAATAAACAGTCCAGCAGACAAACTTAAACCATACGTCCAGATGGAAAGCAGGAAATATAGGACAAAAAATAGACTCAAAGATGTCACTTTATGGGACCCTAGAAAAGTTTCCAGAAAAAAAAAAGATGAGGTAAGGAGAGAGATGCTGGGGTGTTATAATGATCTAGATTACTAGAAATTCATACAGGTTGAGAGAAAGACGAAGAACTCACCAGGTGGATCTTGAAAGAGTGACTTGACACTTGTCTCTGGTGTTTGGAACCACAGGGCCCCCAATGCATTGTATTCACCATCCCCACAAAAGACCTAATAAGGCAGTTTTAATTTAGCAAAGTGAATAGCATGAAATATTCAGATAAAAATCATTTTCAACCATGCAAGTGTACCTGAATAGGGAATTTAGTTGGATCCTGGCCAAGGGGCCGACAATCATTGAGAAAATATATCATCGCAAATCCAACAGTGGCAGTTGTTGCAGCAACAAGAGCAGCTTCCAAAACTTTCATCGATAACTTATTGTTAATGTACCTGTGAACAAGCCATAAAAAATATGCAGGTAGGAAATGAAAGGGAAAACTAATGATCTAACATATAGTAGTATATTATGCAAATTTTACCTCATTCTGAAAACTGTCAGGTGGTAGTTGATGTAATTGAACAGAGCGCCAAAAAGACCACCTACAAGTCCCATACCCATGTAAATGAAGAGTTCAAACCTTGAATATGGAATATCAGGAAATTTTCCAAAGCTTAAAAGACCAGCAACCCACAGCTGCGCTGAAATATGAAAAAGATATTTATTAGGTGCTCTTATTTTTACGGATATTCCCAAAGAAAAAGGAAGCTTACCTGGATATCCATGGTACATGCTTAGAATGCTGTTGAGCGTAAACGTGCTAACCATTGCAGATAGAAACACACGCCAAGTCAGGCTCTGGTTCCAGAAACTTGTCCCCTCTTCCAAAGTAAACAGGACGCCACCTACAAATGAGACAAACCAACAAAGAATGAAAAGAAGTGATCACTTTTAGTTTACTAAACAACTGATAAACATTGGTAGACTTACCTACAGGAGAACCAAAAGCAGCTGCAACTCCAGCTGCAGCACCCCCGGAAACAAAGTCTCTCTTCTCATGATCCTCTCTAAAGAAGTGAAAAATTTTGAAATCCCTTCCAAATGTTGTACTCTTTCCTTGAGAGATTCCTGCTGCTACCACAGCACCAGAATGAATCATAGGTCCTTCCTAAAGAATTTCAAAAGAGGATATAAGTTCAGTTACTTGAGAGAGTGTGCAATCGGTCAACGAAAAGCAACTGAATTTGGCAATTTGTTTTGTTTACCTTGCCAACAGCAAGACCTCCAACCACAGAAGAAACAACGCCAATTACTTTGACAAACAACGTTTTGATTCTCACAACTCGGGGGATTTTTACACCGTTCAAATAACATTTGACTTGAGGGATACCACTTCCTGCTGCCACAGGCTGGAATAAAAGAAAGTATTTCCATTGTCAGGTCAGAACAGTGCTGAAAACTAGTAGTTTCCAAACTTGAAATAGAAATATTCATACCTCAACATATGTAACAAGCAATGAGCTTATAAGTACAAAAAATACATTGAAAGCCACCCACATCAAGTATGGCAAATATAAACAATTTTCTTTAACACAGGTATCAACATCTTATGATTGGGTTAAGAAGGGTTTACACAAAGAACGTAAAAGATAAACAGATTCTGAAAAAGAAAAATCTAAGTGATGAATGTATTGTACATAAAGGATACAGTGTTTGAGAGTTTCATACTTGATTTCTGACAGTTGGTCAATGGCTATGTCCAGAAAGACACCAATTCCAGCAGTAAAGACGCCAATTAACATAAACACTAGCCATCTAGTTATATTTTTTTTAGTCTCATATTTGAAACCACTGTTGCGTTCTTCATCTAATAGAAGATCGCTGTCAGGTATGTCATAATCTAAGCTCTGTAAAGAGGAAAATCAAATCAAATTGTGATTCCAAACATTAGGTTTGAAATTAATCCCAAAATACTTGTGCTCACCTCATATTTCCCAGAAATAACGTTAAGACAACCCACTTGCACTGTTTCTACAGTTCGAGGTTGTTTACGGGGTGGCCATTCTATACTTGCTGCTCTTCGTCGGCAGGCACTTGATGATGAATCATAGGACTCTTGACTATCATCTGCTGTAAAGAGATGATCCTGGGCCAAGAAAAATAATATTACATGAGTGAGGTAAACTTCGATATAAATTTCAGAAGGGCAGATGTACAGAAAATTTACATTGGATAGAGCTTGTGTTTCCAAGTTGTCTTCTGCGTTGTCTACCAAAGTCTCTGTCATATTATCATCTTCTATCCTCCTTAGTAAGGACGTCATGGTTGCTTTTAACCTTTTCGAGACAAAGTGTCACTATTTCAAAGGGTACACAACCACAATGCGGCATTCACATGATGTGGTGTAAAGCATAACTCAGTTGACGTTCCCCTTACCACACTTGAATAATCTAACATGACAGTTTTAAAGTTCCAAAAACAATGCTCGATTCAACAGAACTGCACTCTCACAGCTAAATGATCAGCTGAGGATTAGGGGAGAGGGGAAGGAGGGGTAGTACGTCAACAGAAACTCTTACCAACAAGCGAAATAATATGTGCAAATCATAACACTAGATTTTGAGTGAAAAAACCTATTGAAACAAAAACTTGATTCGAAAAAAGCATTAAACCTTTCATTTTATTTATTCAGATTTACTCTCATGTTCAAAACTATTTTTATAAATTTTTATTTTTTACATTCATAGTTGCTTAAGAGAACTGCCTATAAGGAGTTCTGCCTATAATGCGTTGCGTTTTTATGAACGAGAAAATCTTCTGGAACATGTCATTCACAGCTACCTAAAACCAGCTCCTAATAAAATGCCCCCCATTGAATGAACTCACAAACACTTCAAATACTTGATAACTATTCTGGCAAATTTTACTGCCAGATAGTTGTGGCAGCCCTGCGGTTGCTTCGAAGCTTGGGGGAGGAGCCCAAGACCCCCCATCTTGCTTTGCTCTGTGCTTTCATCTGCAAGCTGCAGCTGTTGAGGCAGACAAACGGAACGAATCGTCGAGGGCATTTATTGTTCTTTCGGCATCATGGCAGACGCTGAATCTTACGAAGCGGTGCTTATAATTAAATCTGAAGTTTTCGTTTACAAAATTCCACCCCGTGCCACAAACCGAGGATACAGGTAAAGCGTAGTCTTTATTGTTTTTTTGGTTTGGTTGTTGAACTGACATGTTTTGTGACAGCTCACTGTCGACTGAGAAAAGTTACGTGATCTCCTCTAAAAATCTAAAGTGACCCTCTGATGGTTTTGAAACACTTCTATATCTTTCGAGAGCTTAGCATGTCACCAGAAACTTCATCAACAATGCTTGCTTGACATCAAAATTTTTGATAGGAAGTTAACCTCTTGTACCTTCTGGTTAAGGCAGATTATCCCCCTTTATATGTTGGCCCTTCTTGACCATGCATCAATGTTTCAATGAGGCCACATATCGATGTGTTGAATCATGGAAAAAGAACCCCATGTTCTATCTCCTATTTAGTGTCAATGGCATAATACCCTGCCCATGGACTGAAAATACTTCAATTTGAGAATAATTTTATTGGTCTCTAGTTTCTATGTCAGTTTAAACCTGGTTTATTTTTCACACCCAGTATATCTTGACTCCTTTATTACAGAGCAACAGATTGGAATCTTGATGCTCCTCAATGGACTGGCAGGATGCGTTTAGTTGCCAAGGGAAACGAATGCATCATGAAGTTGGAAGATAAAAATTCTGGTGAATTATTTGCAAAGTGCCCTATTGAGCAGTATCCAGGCATTGCCATTGAAGCTGTTACTGACTCATCTCGGTACTTTGTGGTCCGCATACAGGATGATGATGGTAAGCCTCGAATTCTTCAGTCTAACTCTTCTGGTCCTTCTAGTTCTTCTGTCCTCTAATCCTCTTTTTAAACTGATTTTCAGGCCGTGCTGCTTTCATTGGCTTGGGATTTTCTGATCGATCAGACAGTTTTGACTTAAATGTAGCTCTTCAAGATCATTTCAAGTGGGTCAAAAAGTCTGAGGAGATTGAAAAAGAACAGAAAGATGATGCTCCCAAGGCAGACCTTCGGTTTAAGGAAGGAGAAACCATTAAAATCAACATGAAAATAACCGTAAGTATTCCTATGTGTTGGTTCTGAAAATTTCCCTCAAATTCTTGGGCTGCACACTTTCATGTCACTTTAATGCTGATGAACACTTTATTCTTGTTGTCAAGAGAAAGGATGGAAGTGAGGCTACAGCCAAGCCCAAGACAAGGCCCACAGGTATGGGTGGCATCCTGCCTCCACCACCAGGAAGTGCTGGCAAAATCGCTCCTCCTCCCAAAGTGACGCCCACCTCATCGCCTTCCCACACTGCATCCAACCCTGTTCCTGGCATGGACCTTCTCAATCTAGGAGGTCCTTCTTCAGCACAAGCCGGGTCATCCCCTGCTACCAGCAATGCTGAGTCTTGGGGTGATTTCACAACAGCAAATCCGAATCCTCCACCTCAGTAAGTATTGCTCCAATCTGACTACCTCTTCCTCAAATGAAAGTATTTGCCTGACCCTTTCCTCTTCTCCTTTCAGGGCATCACCCAGCAATCCCAATTGGGTTCAATTTTAAGTTACATTTTGTCTCAACAAGTACCAAATGAGTACCAAATAGAACCAACAAGATTGCTTAGAGAGTGGTGTAGTTTCAAAACCCTTTACTGCCTATATTAGACATCTTCCGTAAATTTATGTAAGGACACCATTTGAAAAAAAATATGAGCTTTGTGTATATTGTTAATTTTAGTCTTCATTTTCTTTTATTCCATCATATTACCTATATAATGTTGGAAACTTGGATGTGTTCTAATTCTGTAATTGTTGATCATTGTTTCAAAAGTTTATTCTTTCTGTTTATTGAAAGAGTATATATAATATGACAGTATTGATAAATGTAACCTTGCAATGCTGATTCCTGGTAGTCATATGCATGTAGGTAGGTTTGGTTGGAATGTGTTGAGTGGAATTATCCTTGTATCTTGTTTGTGTGAATGCGTGATCTTAGTTTTACTACTGTCCTACATTTTACAGTTTGGATCTGGATAATGTTACTTCACACTTGATACATAGGGTAACAAAAACACCTGTTGTGAAATCCTCTTCTCAAATTAAAGAAAGGTTTTTCTTTCTTTTTTAATGTTATAGTGGTCTTTTTTGAAGTTATGAGATTTTTTTTCTGACTTTTTAAAAATGCGGTTAGTTTTAAGAATCACTTTTGTAAATGAAAGTGCTCATTTGTTGTTAGTTTGGGATTATACATATTGCTTCTCAACTGGGTGGGTTGGAAAGTTACATTTTGACTCTTTCTCTTTGTAGTCATTGTGTAAAATGTTGTTATGCATCATACTTTACTTTACATTCCATGGCAATGTTTGCTTGTGTCTCAAGCCTGTACGATCTTTTGAACCTATAAATAACTTGGAATAGTATCATGTTAAGTTATGAAAATACTAACTACCTGTTAAATTTATTTTAATTTTCTGTAAATTATATTCTTGTCTACCAGCACATATTTTTCTAGTTTGAAATAAGGTGAGGTTTTATTAATTTGGATAGTTGTCACTGCAATATTCAACATAGTACTGTGCAGTACTATGCAGCAAGTTGGAACTGTGATTAATAATTCTTTGTTGCGGAATGTTAGAATGTTTATGAGTGCTTGCTAACTTTTAAGTTGTTAATGAAGTACATGGCCATGCTAAACTTTGAGAGTAAAATATCAGTGTTTCGATTTCTATCAATTGGTTTCTCTTATTCTTTTAATATCAATCATTCTCAAGAGTAATTCTTCTGTATAGTTTCAATGAATGATAGCAGATCTTAAAACTTCCTTGTGATTTTGTATAGATGTGGAATAAATATTGATTTTGCTGCTCATTAGGAATAGTGCTGATTGACTATCCTACATCTAAACAGATGGCTTAATAGCAATAAGAAAATAGAATAGAGCAGCAAGTTGAGGAGTTATCCAGCAAGTTTGGGAAAATTGGGCAGCTATGATTTGGCAAATATGTGCTTAAAGGCTAAAAAAAAGTGACCCTTTATTTAGTTAAGAATAAATGGGCGTTCCCCATGACACTTTTCAAAACTTTTACACATTCATGGAGAATATATTTTTGTAACAGCCTTCTCATTCCTACACTGAAGTATTGTAAATATTACATGCACATATGAGTGTAACAAGTTCTCCCTCAGAATATCTCTCCTAGGCTGTGTTCTATTGAACCAAATTTGAAAGCAATACCTTGCATAGTTTAAGGGTGGGTCTCGACATTACTTTTGGGTTGATGTTGGATACTCACATATTCAACATGAGAGGTACTATGCAAGGCTCCAGGATGTGAAAGTATTATCTAAAGAATGGAATTGAATCCTCTATGTTGAGAAAGAGACGTGTATTATGTATGTTACTAGGGCATCAATAAATAAATGCTTGGCAACAGTATACTGCTTGTGTTTAAATGTGTCAAAGGTTCAGGTTATGCCACCTTTAGTAAGGAATGATTGTTTGTGTCGTTAATAATGGTATTCCATGCCAACAGCATGGCTGGGGTCAGTACTACGAAGTTCTCTGTGCTGCACTATACACTGAAACAGCACCTCCAACATCAGAGAATCATGGTGGAAAGAGGGAAGGGAAGGACCACAATATGACTTGGATGAATGAATGGTGGTTTTAATTCATTGTTTGTCATTTTTTTTACATCAAATGTTGTTCCCTAGTCAGCATTTCTTATTACATTGCTAGCCAAAGTACGTCTACACAATCAAGCCCGTACAGCCATTTATCTATCATCAAGACAAACACAAACTCATAACAATTTTGCCACTGATTAAGGGAGATCTAGTGCTGAGCTGCTTATAAAGCTATCTGTGAGAATGTCTTACACTTCAGCCTTAACCGTTAAAGCTTAAAATAGTAGCCATGAGCGACAATTTTAGCTTCACTCCAGTTTATTTGTATTAACTTATACTCACTCCATGCCAAATTTGGTGAAACTAGATGATAGCCTGTTATGTTCAGTGGCAGACAATGGCAGGCCAAAGGTGTGTTAAATAGATAACATCACTCGCTTAAATATTGGGCATTGACTAAGCTAAAACAAGTTGGAGCACATGAGCTAGTATTTGTTATGAAAGATATTGATAACATTTTCAACATGTCATAGAATATGCTATAAAAATTTGATTTTGTTACCAGCTTGTTTCATGATATGTATAGTGAACTGACAAAAATCATGTTCATTCTATGGAATAACTCTATGGAATTATATAATATAGGTAAGGTACAAAGCCAGCATAAGGAACAGAAAAGTATTTGGGTTACAAAAATAAAATAAAGAATTTCACTCTAAGCAACAAGTGAAAGAAATTGAAGGATATGCGTACGGTGTGGGCACAGCCTCTTTTTTGTCTCAATTAAAATTTTGCAGTTTTCAGATTTTTTAACATTTGTAGCAGTATACTATACTGTATTAAGAATATTACTTTATACACTATATACACACACACACACTCACACATCTCATTCTTAAATTATTTGTATAATAATATATGTATACATATTTATAAATGTGTATATGCATACTACTACTATGTACATACATACATATATGTCTGGTAAAGTACACATGTTAGATACAGGCATCTTCATAAGCTAAATTGGGAAAGAATGCAGATGGGCCAACAGCCCTGTGGTATATCAACAGTGAAGTACAGAAGGAAATAAGGTGGGAGCGCGTCGAGGCCGGCACTCCGTAATGCTATTGGCACTTCTAATGTACCGTCACAACCAACACTAAAGGAATATTGTACCAAACAACACCTGCAGAAATGAGCTACCTGCACTACCTACCACAGATTAAGTACTTATTTTATGGTATCACATTAACACGTTCAAACAATTAAGTCACTCATCAACATAATACGTCCAACAACTTCCCCCTCCCATTTCCCCTCCCCATCCCACTCCCCTACAGAAACCTTATCTTTGTCCCGGCCAGGCCCTGGAGTCTGGGCTTGTCACACCCCATCAAGGTCCTGGTGTGGTCCTTTCTCCAAACTTTTCACTGAGATGCTTGTTCCTTACATCAACAAATATATACAAAAATATATAGATATAGATATGTTTCAGTGCGAGCGGGGAAGGCCTTGATCCTGCTCGCACACACAGCCGGCTAGTAAGTACTGTCTCTGTCTACCTACAGCATCGCTAGGGCCCCGCTAGTGGCCAAGCTAGTCAGGGAGGAGACCGCGCTTGCGTTAGAGCGCTAGCGTCACATGCGAACCTCGAAGGCCTTCACCGAGACCGGGTTGCCGAGGAAAGGGTTGGTGCTGCTGGCGTGCGAGGCGTGCGCGGGGGGAACGGGCTGGGGGTGGGGGAGGGGGTGGGCGAGGGCGTGGGCGGGGTGGTGCACCGCGGTGCTGACTTGCGCGTGCGCGTGCGGCGGCGCGGCCCAGTCCACGTTGAAGGGGTCCGTGGCCGAGGTGCCGTGGTGGCCGTGGTGGCCGTTGGCGTTCATGCTGGCCACGCCCATGTAGGATTCGGCCGAGCCCAGCGAGTACGCTCTCGAATGGCTACCCAGCATGCCAGCTCTCCTGGGCGAGGGGACGGGGGAGGCGGGGGTGGGGGCAGCGGGCTTTACCACCGTCGCGATCTTGCCCAGCCACTGCTCTGGCCGGGGTAGGTCCTTGGGGGGTACTGGGACGACCGTCGGGGCCGCGGGGACAGGGGACTCTGACGGTGCAGGTGGCGCGGGAGGCGCGGGCGAGGTGCTGGGGGCGGGGGAGGGGGCGGGGGAAGGTGCGCCGTCGGACCGCGGCCACAGGGTGGTGTTGGTCCACGCGAGGGGGTCCTTGGTGTCGATGGAAGCAGCCTTGACCGGACCCGTCCACAAGCCGTTGGCGGAGTTCATACTATTATTGTTGTTGTTGTTTTTCGATGTTATGCTGTCGAGCTGAAACAGAAGAGGGGATTCATTGTAGATTCAGCGTGTCAGCAGTATAAAAGCAGAAGCGGCGGCCAAATTTAAATTGAAAATTAGAGCACTCACCGAAAATTCGTCCGTCAGGGACAGGAGCTGTAGGCCCTGAGACAGCTGCTGGCACATGGCACTCACTGGGTCTGCGGGGGGCAGGGCGGGGGCGGGGGACGCGGACGGCGTGGCAGTGGTCCCGCTGCGACTTGACAGGGGAGACGACTCTGGGATGGGGCTCACTGTAAACAAAACAGATCGATCAGAGGCAGGTTCGGCGGGGCGAGAGGCGCGAAAGGCTGAAGCTCCCTGTACAGTCCATCCAGGTGAGGTGAGCAAAGCGGAACGCGAGGTGCGCACACAGTCACAAACACGGGCACGGGCAGCTAGATGTGTCAAACCCTTGTCGAACGACACTGAGCTCAGTGTACGCAATGTACTGTACGCAGGGCGGAACAGGGCGGAGCTACACGGGGCTAAGTCCCCGGCGGTTAGTACAAGCCGCACGCAAAGGGGGCAAAGACGGGGCGCGGGACTCAAGGACGGCGCGGCGCAGCGCGGAGACCCCAACGCATGGGGCCCACTAAAGTACCGGGCATTCGTACAGTGCAGGCAGGCACTTGCTTCAAGTGGGGTCTCGGGGTGCCAAAGAGAGAGAGAGGCTCGGAATGAGCCTGCCGAGGCGACAGACGTCTGCGTGTGGCGGGGGGTTGCTTTGGTACAGGGGGCACGACGAACGTGAGTGAAGGACGGGGGACTCGGGGGCGGCAAACATTCCAAGGCACGGCACGCGACACGTCCTCGACTCACTGGTGCTGCTCAGAGCGCTGGCGTTGGGCAAGGACATGAGCCTCTGTCGGCGACCTGGTGGAGGCGGCGGCGCTCCGGGCTGCTGGGGGACCGGCGGCGGGGGCCTTCGTGGCGCAGCGACGCCGCCCTCCAGGCCGCCCTCCACCCCCGGCGAGCCCAGCACGCCCAGCCCCAGCAAGCCCCCTTCTCGCCGCGGGTCAATGAACCAATGCGCCGATTAATGGTAAAGTCCACGACTCAACGAGCACACGGCCCCATTCTCGACCAATGAATGAATGAATGCATGAATGAACATGACCGAATGAATGGACGCTCGAATGAAGCACCGGCCGGCACTCACCTTGCGGTCGCGACGACTCGCTGGCCAGGCTGAGCGAGCGCTGGCGCTCCAGGTTAGAGGGCAGGTCGCCGATGCGCAGGGAGAGCTGCCGCTTGAAGGGCGAGGCCTGGTTGAGCTGCGAGAAGCCTCGGAAGGAGCCCTGCCGCTGCAGCATGGACACGGTGGCGTGGGGCCGCTCGATGGCGAAGGGGTTGCCCGCCTTGTGCGCCGGGGCTGCGGGCACGGGCTCTGCAACAACACGGCCGGGGCCGAGGAGGCCGAGGTCAGGCAGGGCAGGCGGGGGCTGTAGCCGGCTGGCTGGCACACCGGAGAAACGGCCGCACCGCGCACCTCGTCGAGGCCGTCCTGCACGACGTGCGACCGTTTCTCCGTCTCTCGTCTCCATCACATCCGTGCTGTACACTGTACAGTGGGGTCAAGCTCTACACGTGGGGGTTCTCGTCCCGGGTTACGTGCACTTCGACAGCTGCCCTCAAATTTCAGACCACCAACGACCTCACCCCCCGAGAATTCACTAGGATAGTTCACATAAGTACGCTGCTAAAAAAATAATTTAAAAAAAAAGGTTTTTGTGCGGAGACTACAATAACCTATGCCTATAGAAACAAGAAAAATAAAATGTCATTTACAGAAGTAACATTTGTGAACAGCTTATGATGGTGGACAGTGGCAGTGCCTACGGTTGCGAAAGCATGCGTACTCCAGGTCGGGTCCTGCAGCCTGCATCTTGCTGGCAAACCTAGGCCAAGGAATGCATTCGACGTGTGCTCGCTAGTACTACAGGTACGTGAATACCTACAAGTGCAGACAAAGTACGTCTCTTAGAGAGCCAAAATAAGGGAATAAGGAGATGAAAAATAAATAAAGGTTCGAGCAAGAACACCGGGGAAGGACGAGGGGATCATGCTAGATTATATGAAAAACAAACACGCTGCAAACAAAATGATGTCAATAAAAACCAAACAAAATAAACATTAGAGGATGGGTGAAAAAGAAGCAGCGAGGAAGACAGACAAGACTTAGAAAGAAGAAGAATGAAGACAGAGAGGGAGAGAGACAGAGACAGAGAGAGAGAGAGAGACAGAGAGAAAAGAAAGGCACGCAAATATACAGTAATACACATATTCACAGTCAGTCTGCACTCGGAGACAGTTGACACTGTACAAACATGCACCGGAATGCCACCATTCGCATCGCACCAAACGGGACAGGGGCCACAGGGGACGCGAGCCCGCGGAAGAGGCGGCCACGCGCTAGGTGCACCAAAAAAATAAAAAATACCAAAACTGGCAAGAAAACGATAAAACAACCTGGAAAGCAGAACGAAGGCATTGCACTATCCGTTGGGTCGGGCCAAAAAGTGCAATCCGTCCAAAGGTGCGGGTGGGGGATGCAAATGTACAACGCACGGCCTAGCCCAGCCGGCCTAACCCAGGCCCCCCTCCCAGTGCATCACCCCGCGGGACGCGGTGTCCCTCCTCGTCGCCTACAAAGCATGCTGCTAGTGCTCAAGGCTGCTCGCTGCTTACCAGCCCCAGCCGCAGCCACCGTGCCCACCATGCCCCCCGCCACGCCCACGGCACCTGTGGGGGCCGCGGGAGCCGCGGGGGCCGCGGGGGCCATGCTGAGCCCCGCCCCCGCCCAGATGCCCACCCCCGAACCCGGGAACGGCGGGGCCGCCATGTCGGCCGTGTTGGCCACTGCGGGCGGCTCGGCCATGCCCGAGGCCATGCCCGAGGCCATGGCGGCCGGCGCGGCGGACGCGTACGGGTCCAGGGGGTCGACGGAGTCTGCAGGCTCGATGGGCGCGATGGGCATGGCGGCTATCTCGGCCGCCGAGGGGCGGGCCACCTCCCAGAGGAACGGAGCTACAAAAAGACAAATCAAGGTCAGCACCAACGCGACAACCGGCAGAGTCCTATACTGAGCTGGAGGGAGGGAAGAGAGAGACAGAGACAAGTTACACGGGGACCAAAGAACTGGAAACGGGAGGCTCTTTGGGCGCGACGCCCGACGCAGTGCTGCCGCTACCGGCGCCCCGTCGCCGAGCCGGGTGCCCGGCGTGCCCGGCGTGCCCCGTCGGGCTGTGGGCTGTTCAGCGATGAATAACGCATTTGCCCGACCTGCTTTTCCATTCCGTGGCGAGAGGCTAGGAGGAAAAAAACCGTAGACATGCAGAAATAAGGAAAGAGAGATAAGGATTCGAAGAAAAGAATTGTTGAGAAAAACGTCACTCGGCGTGTGTGATGAGTGCGGGTTGGTGACGGCCTTGTGACACGGTAGCCACGCGGACACACGGAGTACGCTACTCACCGGCAGGTTTCAGCTCCTGGGGGTCGGCGAGGCGCTCGGTCAGGGAGGGCTGCCTGAAGCTGCCCGACCGGGTGAAGGTGGAGTCCTTGGGGTCGAACTTCATGGTGACGCCGAAGTCCTTGTCGCGCCGCTGCTTGCGCTCCAAGCAGGCGGCGAACGCGCAGCCCACGGCGTGGGACAGCCTCTCGCCCTGGAGAACATCAAGCGAGCCGTGATGAGGACGGTCGCCGCGGTCGCCACCCACGCCGCGCCGGTGGACTCCGGGCCGCTCAGTCTGCGCACTCACCGACTCACGCAGCGCGAGGAAGCCGTGGCACATCCACCGCCTCGTCGTGCCATCCCTGCAGATGTACGAGAAGCCCTTGTCGTGGTTGCGGTCCGGCGCGCAGAACGACACCTTCTCGATGGTCTGGTCCACGATCAGGCCCTTGGTCTCGTCCTCCACGACGCGCAGCCCGTCGCCCGACACGTACAGGATGGCGCGCACCCGCCGCCGCCGGGAGTTCTGCAACAAGGAGCAAGGAGTCAGACAAGTGGAATCGAACGAAGGCGCGATTTGGCGTGGGCGCGCCTGCGAAGCAGTGCGCCATCTAGACACTCATCGGGCTGCCGGGCGCGGACGGCGGCGCATTCGGAGCGCAGCTCGGCGGCTGAGCCTCGCACCAGCGCTCCAGATAAAGGAAAGGGGCCGTTGTGAAAGACGAAAGACGCCGGCCGGCCGGGTGAGCCGGAGCGCTGACAATGCGGGGCGCGGGGCTGAGCCTGGCTGTGCCTGCCCGCCGCGCGGATGCCACAGGGCGCAGGGCACAGGGCGCAGCACATGCCGCTGCATCCAAGAGGCCATCACAAAGGAGGAGAAAGACGCGACGCAGTGGAGGGGCTTTTCGGCGACGGGACGAGGGCCGCCGAAGGGCGCTGAGGGCTCTCGGAAGCCCGGAAGAGGGTCAGCACCGCGGTACGGCGGTATACGGCGGTACGGTTACGGTGTTACGGTAACCTGGGCAACGCGGCGCTCGGCTCGCCGGGATGGCGATCCTCTCCTCTCCTCGCACGTCTGCACGTAATTGCCTTCATTACGACAAATTGGCCAAAGCTGCGGCCCGGGTCTTCCCTTCGCCGCGAAGCCGCGAAGCATCGGACACTCGTCCGTCGGCACCGCGTGGCGCGAACGTACATCTGGGTACTGCAGGGCTCCGGCGGCCACGCGGCCACGCCCACGACGGCAACGTGACGCCCCTCGCCGCCCCCGCGCCTTGTGGTGAGCCTCCCGCCCTCTCTCTCGCACACGTCGAGCAGCCGGCGGGGGCGAGAGAGACAGAGAGAGCGGCATTTCATTTTTTTCTCAACACAGCCGGGGCCCGAGGCCCGTTACACGTGGCTGCGTGACTCTCACGCCACTCCGTGCACGCCGCGATCGTCTACCTCGCCGTCATCGCCGCACCGCCGGGCACGATCTGGCCCGCTCCCTCGGGCCGGCTAACCGCGAGTTCAAATCCCGGCGTCGTCCGATCCTCTTTTACTCACCCTGAGCACCTTGAGGGCCTCCTCGCACACCTGCATGCCCCGGGACTCGAACACCTCCACGCAGCCCATGTACTGCAAGAGAGAAGCAGGGTTACAGGGCGGTCGCTAAAGCGGCAGCAGAGGAACACAACACGGAGATATGGGCGCAAGGCGCGCAAGGTAGGCCTACCTTGACGTGGAAGCAGCAGGTGCCGGCCCTGACGGCCGCCTCGTCCAGCTGCCATTGGTGGGGCTTGGAGCTCTCCGGCAGCGAGGGTTCCTTCCGCCGCCGGAAGCTGTCGCGGAAGCTGCGCCGCAGTCGGTCCATCCTCCGGTTGGGGCTGCGCACCTTCTCGCCGCCACCGCCCTGGCCGCCGCCCTGGCCGCCGCCCTGGCCCTGCAACAACAACAACAACATCGGTCACACCACTGCCAGCAACAACAACAGCAGCAACAACGGGCCTAGCGGGGCATCCTCATTAGCCGGGCTGACGCGACCCCGCTTCCCGAGCAGCGATTCCGAACAGTCGTTCTGTCCTTCTTGCGCCCGCAGTGCCCCGCAGAGCCCCGCACGGGGCGCCTCGTAAGTGCGACAGAGACAGCGAGGCGTCCCCGGAAGCAGCCTCCCGCTATCTGCAGGCCGACGGCACTGCGGCACTGCCAATACCGGCGGAAGCGCGTTGCATCGCGTTGCAGCACCGCGACGAGGCGAGGCGGGCGGGTGGCATCACCAGGCACTACTTGATGACTCGATCGGGGCGGCGCGGCGTGGCGGCGCGGCGGCGCCCAGCAGAGCCCCAGAGCCACGGCGAGGCGCGCGAGGCGCGTGGAGCGGTGAGGTGGGGTGATAAGATAAGCGGAGTGCCGCGGCGGTACCGGCGCGCCCTCGCCAGCCACCTGCCGCGAACCGCGAACCGCGCCGCCACGCCGCACCGCGGCCATTTCTACCTGACCGAGCCGCGAGCCAGCCCCATATTGCACCTCAACATCCGACTTGATGGGGCCTCTCGTCTCTCTGAGGCATTCGGCGGGCGGACGGACGGGCAGGCGGACAGACAGACGTGCTGCTGCATACCGCCGCCGCGTTCACACCGCGCCGTGCGCCGTATCGCCGTGCCGGGACGCGCGTTTCACCCTTGACACCAATCTGCGTGGCGCAAAGCGCACGCAGCGCACGCAGCGCACGCACTGGCACACGTCGAACCGAACCAGAGCCGAGCGCGGCAAAAACAAAAATGAACCAAAAGCAAGACGCGGTCGTCACTCTCTCTCTTGCACTGGGACACAGGGTCGAGGCGCGGCAAAAACAAAAATGAACCACAAGCAAGACGCGGTCGTCACTCTCTCTCTTGCACTGGGACACAGAGCCGAGCGCGGCAAAAACAAAAATGAACCAAAAGCAAGACGCGGTCGTCACTCTCTCTCTTGCACTGGGACATAGGGTCGAGGCGCGGCAAAAACAAAAATGAACCAAAAGCAAGACGCGGTCGTCACTCTCTCTCTTGCACTGGGACACAGAGCCGAGCGCGGCAAAAACAAAAATGAACCAAAAGCAAGACGCGGTCGTCACTCTCTCTCTTGCACTGGGACACAGAGCCGAGCGCGGCAAAAACAAAAATGAACCAAAAGCAAGACGCGGTCGTCACTCTCTCTCTTGCACAGGGACACAGGGTCGAGGCGCGGTTCGGAATCAACCTGGAGTGCGCGCACGCGAGCCGCGCCGCGCAACGAGTTCCTTTTTCGAAAAACAGAATCCGTTTCAACAACTCACACACACACACACGCCTGTCGCAACGCGGCGCAGCGCCGCCGTGCTTCCCACCGGGGTGCACAATAAAGGTGCACACACACACACACACACACACACACACGCGCGCGCTGTGTCGTAAGGCCGAGGAGGCGGCCGCCCCGCACCGCACCGCCACCTCGCGCGTGGACAATTGAATGGACAAAAGAGCATCGGGTCGTCCCGCGCCGCGACGCGCCGCGCACGACACCTACACTGGAGTCGGACCGGCCCCTTTCTCTCCGCCGCCGTCATCGTGGACGTCGTGGACGCCGCGGACGTCGCGAAGGCCGTGCGGGGGACGGGGCGCCACTGCCACTGCAGGCAATCGGGGCGATTGCACCCACACAGACTCACACTGCAGTGTCCTTACGCGGAAGGCGGTCGGGTACACTCGGGGCGCAGGTGTCGCTCGGCGTCGGCTGCCTCTCTCGCGCCCCAGCGAGACGCCTCGTGCGAGAGCGAGAGAGAAGACGGCGGCGACGGTCCGGAGGAAGCCTGCTGTGCGACGTCCGGCAGCCGAGTGGAGTGCCGCCTACCCGGAGAGCGCCCCGCTCCAGTAATGCAATCGCTCCATTCCGAGTCCATCTCCCGGTCCCGGGAAAATGGCGCAGGGCACGCAGGGCACGCAGGGCACGCAGGGCACGCAGGGCACGCAGGGCACGCAGGGCACGCAGGGCGCGATGCACTTCCCTTGACGCGGCATGCAGCATATGCGCCCCGGCGGGTCAAGGAGGAGGAGAGGGGGGAAAGGGGGGGGGGGGGGTAGACGCGAAACGGATCCACCACCGCCTGTTTCCTAGGGCCGCCGCCCCCGCAGCGCAGTGCCCCTGCCCTGCCATTCCGTTCCCATCCTCCGCCCGACCCTTGAAGCTCGAAGCTGAAGCTCGAAGCCCCGGAGCGCAACGAGCTTGACTGGCCGGGCAGAGATTGATGCGCACACGCACGTACAGCGTGCGCGTCGTAAACAGCCCGGCGAAGGGTCGTTCCGTGGCTCTGTCTCTCTCGCACCCCTACGGGCCGCCCGGCCGCCCCGGGAGTGCGACAGAGACAGAGCGGCCTGCAGTGCAGCACCGCGAAATGCCGTCATAAAGGCGGGGAAAGTGGCTTTTTGGAGCGCTAATTGGACGGAATACGGCATAACGGCGTCTCTCTCTTCCTCTCTCCGGTGCTGCGGACCTGCGGGCGGCCTACCCGCCGGGCGGTCCAAGGACGGCCAGCCAGGGCGTAGCGGGACCGCGGCACCGCGCGGAAGCGGACCGGCGAGGCCCGCGCGGCGCGGCGCGGGTTCAACTCCCGGCCGGTGAGTCACTTTGCTCCTCGATCTGCGGATGGCGCCGTGACGTACCACCGGGAGTCTGATCTGATGCTGAAAGCGCTCCGTCTCTCTCACGCCGTGGAGCGTCCCGCAGCGGTGCGAGAGAGACAGAGAGACGACGGCGCTGTTCGCAGGTGAAGAAACAAGAAACCCGCACGCCCACCCGGCGGAGGCGTGGAGCCAGTGGAGCCCGCGCCGCGTGCCGCACGCCGCGTGCCGCGCGCTGGCGTGCCCGTTTCGCCACGCTGCAGGCTGAGTCCGAGGACCGCCTGCGTCGCTCCGTCTCTCTCCCGCCCACGGGGCGTTCCGTGGGGGTGCGACAGAGACTGTGCGACGAAGGCGGTCCTGGAGCGCGCGCCGCTCGGAGCCGCTCTCGGATGGGATCAGAGAGCTACTCTCCGGCGGCTCCAGGCCGACTCCAGTTCCAGTGGTAGTCTCGTTTCGAGCAGTGCTCTGTCGGTGGCGCAGTCGCGGGGCGCGAGAGGGACAGCGACGGTAGGGCTGCAGGGCCGGCCAGTGCGGCTCCAGCGGCGGTCGGTGCGGGGGTGCGCGGCGCGGCGCGGCGACGCAGCCTGGGCCGCACCGGTATATCGAGTCACCTTCGCGGCTTCGCGGCTCCGCGGCTCCGCGGCCGGCGAGGGCGAGGCTCCTCCCCGCCCTTCCCGCCATCTCATCTCGGTGGTCTCGGTCTCGGTTCGAAAGCGGCAAGCGACCGCTCAGCCCGCTCAGCCCGCTCGCGGCACGAGACTCAAGGTCAGGATGGAACGGCCGAGCTGCCGACGCTGTACAAGGCGCTGCCCGGCGCTGCCCCCGGCCGCCTGCTTTAACGACCAAGGTGTTCGGTTCACAGAACCGAATGTTTGGGGGGAACATCTCTGACTCCACGGCGGGGCGGGGCGGGGCGGAAAAATGATTTTCGCGATACCTGCCCACCCGGTCTCGAGGAGGATTCTGCGAAGAGGACGAGGAGGGGCACCGAAAGGGCATTCGAGCAGACGCCCCCGGCCCAGGCAGACATCCATGGCGACCGGAAACCATCACGTCGGAGAGGCACTCCGTGCGCCGTACTCCGACTCCGTGGCGACGGCGATGTCGGGCGGGGCCGGCCGAGCGGGGCAGGGCAGGGCAGGGCGGGCCCGTCCCGCCGTACCTTTTAGTGCCCTGCTCGGCATGCTCGGCGGGCACGCTGTGCGCGCAACGCCGCACGCTGTACCAGCAGAACCACATCGCGCTGTACAGTCGCAGGCGGGCCAGGCGGGCAGGCGGGCCCACACGCCGCCCACCGCGGCGCCGAGGTTGGCCGGGCCGAGGTCCGCGATGAAGACGCGTCCGCCAGGCTATTGACCAAGACGGCTCAGCGTCCGCCGCGCGCCGATTCTGCCGGCTGGCTTTCATTGCTCGCTCTCTCTCGCACTCACCGGGCGTCCCGTAATGCCGCAAGGGTGCGAGAGAGACCGACAAACGGCGAAGCACTGGCTGTGCTGTGCTGGTCTGCCGGCCGCTCCACGGACCACGGCACGCGCGTTTTCGGCAGTGTCCCCGCGTGTCGCCTCATTTGAATGCCCCCGCGAGAGGACGGGACGACGAGACGGAACGGAGGCGACTGCGATCGGCTTCTGGGCAGCACGGCGGTGCCTCGGCGGGGCCACGGCGGGGCCGCGAGCCGCGACGGGCCGACGGCGAGGTGACTATCGCACCCCTCTAATCAGGAAGTGGATAAGCAGCCACCACCTGCCCGCCAGCCCCGCCCCGCCCCGCCCCGCCCCCGGTCGTAGTATCGCCCGGCCGAATCAGTGGCCAACTGGACTGAACCGAACCGCGCCGAGAACCAAGAAGGCCGAGACTAGCGAGACGCAGCCCGGCCGGGCCGTGGCGAGCCGGCGGGGGCCTCACCGCCTCCTTTGCCCTCAACGGGTAGCTGCTGACGGGAAGGGGGGTCAGCCCAGGGTCAGGGATACCGGCCCGGCCGGCAGGTGGGCCTGTGGGGCCTGCGGCCTGGGGCTGCCGGGGCACAGTGGGCCAGAAGCCGGTGGAGGCGGCCAAAACTCTAGACGCGTTTTGAGCTCCAGAGTCGCTAAATGGGACTCGAACCGAACGTGTGACCCCACCAATGGACTGCTCTCCGAACGAGGAATCCATTGGTGGGGTGACACGTTCCGTTCGAGTCCCATTTAGCGACTCTGGAGCTCAAAACGCGTCTAGAGTTTTGGCCGCCTCCACCGGCGTCTGGCCCACTGTGCGGGGGCCCAGCCGATGCCCACGGCCCCGCAGACGGCGACCAGACCGACAGGCT